ACTTGGGGTATTTATTGTTATTAGCATAGAATCAATTATCCATTTTATTATTTGATTGGCTCTTTCTACCTGTACTTTAATCCAAGGACATCTGTCACAACCTCTAACACGTCTATCATCAAAAGCACAGAGCATATTAGACATGGAATCATTTAAAATTCTCTTTTATCATCTGTATGTAAAAGAAAATGGGGCTTATTTGACATAAAAATAGATCTAATTGTAAGAATTACAGTTGAAGCGACTATTACATGCAAAGAAACTGTCCATATAAACTTAAAAAATGGTTCTATGACATCAAGCATCTACATAACGATTATTTAATTCTCTATAATATAAAAATCTACTAAATCGGCACTTTATTGTTCTCTGGAAATTCTAACAATAATGGGTCTTAAACAGATCCTGTAACCATCGCTTTTCGCGACTAACAAATTTCACTAAAACTTAACATTTTAGTAACCTCATCATGCATAACTCTATGTATTATTTGACTTACATAAATTATAATAGTTTGTCTATTACTAACATGAATCAATTTAAGTTGCTCTTTTTTAAATTTTTCCCCTTATAAAGTAAAAATTTATATTATCGAACCGTCATAGCTTCTTTACAAGTACAACTAAATACATAAATAAAGAAATATTTAAACCAAAATGTTTATTTTTTTTTTTCCATGCAGGGCATAAAAATTTTATAAAAATTAATTAAATGTTGAGGGCCACTACGTAGCAATGTTTTTAACAGTAATTAGGTTTGTGTGTGGTTTATCACACGAACATTTTTTAATTTGAATTTTTTTATTTCTTCACCAATATAAATTTTTTTGTTCTTTTTTTAAACCCTTCTTTTTGTTCTTGAATTTAAAATCTAGCAGAAAATATGCTGTTAATAATAAGCTCAATAAATTTTTCTATTTCAAAATTGTGCGATTCTATCCTTAGCCTAGAAATTTAAATAAATGATATGTAAAAATGAGTGCTTATAAATAAAATAACAAATTAAGTTCATTTTAAATATTTATTAATTTTAATATACATTATAACTGTTTCTATGTCTAAAGACTAAAATTACAGTGAATCCAAATAATGTTGCGCCTTAATAGACAGGGTTTTTATAGTATCATAAGATCATATAACATTTAAATTGTTTTATAAATATTAGGGGAAGATCGGGTAGCTGTCCCGACTTAAAAAACTTTCCAAACAACTCTTTATTACTGGCCCGTTTTGGTTAACGTGTTTTTCCTTGCGTTATAAAAATGCTCTTTCAACAACCTTTTGTGTACCCTTCTTTTTATAATTTTATTTATTAAAAAAAATTTCTAGAAGGATTCATAAAAATGCTACCAGCTGCTATTAAATAAAATGTTCTTTACATAAAATAAATACTTGCCTATATATTAAAGGACTATACATTTCACTTTTATATGAAAAAAGTGTTTCAATTTGTTTATTGCTGAATCATTAATATGGAAAAGATTATAACTTGTATCAAAATTATTGGCTACAGATTGTTAATTTAAGACACTGTTTTAAATATTATATTAAAATTAAGGCGTATCAAGGTCATGTTATTTCTAAAGGCCAACAAAAACATTCTATCTTTCAGATCAACACAAATAATTGCATATTGATAGAAAAAAGATTATTAGCTCTTGTTAAATAAATAGGCATACTTTAAAAGAATAGGGGTTTTAATTTTTAGCCTTTAAAAACATAAAGAATATTGTTTTTTTGCAAAACCACTTTTTAATTTTTTATACAAAACTTTGTGTGTTAAAATTATTGATGCGTTTAGATATTTTATCAGTGTATTGGTAAGTAATAAATTTAATTCAATAATGTGCTAAAATAAACAATAAATATCTTTGTGACAGCTTTTTTGGAAACTATTCAAGTAACAGAAGCAATAGCAAAAGAAGATGATACAAATATGTGGCCTTTTGAGGGTATACAAAAAAAAATGAGCTATAAAAAATAAACATTTAAAATGAAAAAATAATTTTTGTTTATTTTTTCAAATAAAGCATTTTAATAAATAAAAACATTATAAATGTCGAGGTGTAATAATGTTGTACATTATTGTATAAATTTTTAATATTTTTTATTCCATACAGGAAGAAAGCAAAGTTAGTAAAAGTGTTATTGATAGTAATATTGCTTTTTTTGTCACTACTGTTATCGATAGGCTCGAGAATCGTGAGTATGTAAAGAAAAAACACTTTAATTAGAACGGAATAGGTGAGAATTTTTTAAGTGTTTAACGAAACTTTCCGTTGGGTTCGAGATTTTATATCATGTTGTTGGATGTTAAACACCCAGTAGTTTCAGATACGGATGAAACCACGACGTCTTAAGCTTGTTTATTTGTTTACATGTTTTATGTAAAACTATAAAAAGAAATCCTAAATAAATAAGAATGTCATTTATAAATACCTTTTGTAAGTCTTACAGACCCAAACGGGCTAGCAGTGTACCATTTCCCTAGACATGTTATTATATTAACACAGACTATGTTAAGTACTAATATAAAGTAAGGGACAAGATAATTTTGGAGGCGATACCGTCGTTAATCTTAGTCTTTACATTATAGATTGGTTTTTAATAATCATGTATATTAGATTAGAAATCACTATGGTAAAGCTTAATAACATTAAAATGCATTATTTGTAACTTATTAAACAGGGGCTTACTTAAAGATTTAACAATGATTGATGTTATTTTTCGTGATTGGTCTAAATATCTTTTAACTCCTTCAATAGATCATACTTGGAATTTTTTATAGTCAATACGAGAGAAACAGCAAATAATTTTTAGGAACATTACATCTTCAAGCTTAATGATTTCTATAACAGAATACTTCGACGTGGCGTGGGAAATTCATTTTACATTTAAGGGTTATCCATCATTTTGAATGTTTCAAAAAAAAGGTGCAAAAGAATATAAAGATTGTACAGGTATTATAGAAATTGTTTCTATAGATAATATGATTTTAAGGCTTAAAAGAAAAATCTATTGATATTTTTGGTTAAAATTATATAAATAAATAAAACTGATTATGATAGTCCAAAAAAATGTAAATACTTTTGTGGTATTAATTCCACATGAAATACTTTCTATTTTCTAAATTTTCTTGAAGAAATTTTACTATAAAAATATTTTATGAAAAGAAGGGCATCGTTGTCATGAATAACTACATAATCATCAACAGCAAGAGAATCACAAGATCAACAGAGGGTCTCACAAGAGCACAATTCCCCATGAAGTTAATAAACCATTTAAGTTGGATCAATTTAGTTTGGCTTCAGGAGCGAACATTGTAGAGAACTTTCTTAGTTCTGGTCGCCTTCCTGCGTTTCTCGCCACACCTTTTTACTAGAGTTTTTTGGCTGGCGTAGTTTAGTTAACGTTTCTATGAAATTGGATTGAATAAGGATTGCAAATAACAAAGAATTAAAAAAAATGTATGAATAATATATTTTGAAAGGAAAAAAAATAAGTGTTGAAGTTCTTTTGATTAAAGCCTATTTTTAAAAAGGTTGTTTTATATTTTAATGCATTAATTGTACTTGTAAAATAAATAATATTAGAAATGTAGAATTTAAAAAATTCCAATAAATAAAAATACATTAATAATTTTAACATTTAAGTATCTACAAACTGTATGACAAAAAGTACAAAAAAAAAATAAAAAAAGACTTTTAACTTTATTATTTTTCATTATCTTCTACATTTTTACTTTTTTTTATTTCCGACAAATGCATACATATAATCTCAGAAAAACATTTATAAATATACTTACTTTTTTTGAAATAATCTACATAAAGAAGTTAAGTTTCACCTTTACAAAGCCACTGATATAAACTTAAGCCCCTTATTTCAAAATCATTAAAAAGTCTGATAAATGTATTAAGATTTAATAACGAGAGTTTGGCAAACTCTTCGTCTAAACAATTATATATGCAATAACAATACTCCCCATCATCATTCCGTGGGGTTTAGAAAAACAGCTAAATTTTCCTTCTATAAAACGATAAAATTCAAAAAACCAGGCCATTTCTTTTTATTTACTATCATCGTTTAGCTTCTGAAAATCATTACTTGCCTTAAATCGTTTTTCACTCTCCGTTAATAATTTTTCATACTCAAAATTTTGTAAAATACAAAAAGCATGATATATTTTTTCGAAACAAGGAACTAATAGTTCTGTAGCGTTTTTCGTTGAAAGCCCCTCTTTAAATTCCATCAAAGATTGTGTATCAGTTTGCTCTTCTGCTGCTCTTATCACTTCACCAACAAATCCCATATAATAAAAAATCGCATAGTTTTAATCTTTCATAAAGAAAATCTCTCAACTTACAAGAAACAAGGTCTAAACTTAAATCGTAAAAGGCTTTAAAACGCGTATATTGTATTTTTAAGTCATTTTCTTCTATCAATTGTACATTGAACTTATTATCAAGAAGCATTTCGCTAATATTACGTTCTGCAAGATTATTTAGATTCTGAAGTTTAACGTTACTAAATAACTTTCGTATGTAAGCATAAGATTTTTTGTCTTCCACAGTTGTACAGGAAGATAGATTAAAAAATCTAAAAAATAGTGCAGTAATAAAACTATACAACTTCATTGTGGGGGGTAAAACAAAACCTTAAATTTAAATTTTTGTAATTTAATTATTAAGAAAATAATAAACCATGTAAATATCAAAATTTATTTAATCTCAAATCTATTAAAAAAATAAAGCTTACATTTTGGCTTATATTTAATTAGCACTTAAAAGATCTAATCTTTATTAATTTCAAATTTAAAACGTTAACGGTTTTTTTGGTAAATTAAATTCTTAATTTAATAATAAAATTTAATAAAAATTTAATAATACTTTGCAAAAATAAAAAATAATCAAAGAGAAGTCTACTTTTTTTCACACAACAGAGCTCTAATTGCTTTGTCATTTTTTTTTATTCAAAATCTAAATTATATTTATTTAATTAAAAAACTATTGATATTTTTGCATAGAGCTAAAACAAGTATGACACAAGCCCGTATGATGGTGTTCATCCCAAAATATTCTTCTAACACACTAATTATGGGTGTGTTATTATTGGCCCGGTCTTTATGGGCCGAGAACCACTTCTGGGTCCTGTGGTTAAAATAAGTTAAATGATTTTTACTAAACTTGTTTTATTTATAATTTTTTTTAAATACTTTTACTCCTTAAAAGTTACCAATAATATTTAAAAATGTTTATTCAGTGCTACAGATTACTGATATTTCACTTTATGAACCAATTATTTATTAAATTTGTTCATGGTCTTTCGACCATCATGCGGTATTGTACCACGGAGTATATTAAAAAGTCAACTGTTTATAAATTAAAAAAAAATACCAAATTTAATAAATAACAATAAATAAAAATTTACAATAATTTGTAAATGTAAAATCAATTTTTTTTCTAAAACATAGTACAATTATATAAAATATTTAGTTATTAAAGTAAATATGATATGTTTTAAAAAATTTTACTTCTTACTATGTTAAAAAATACAAGACGGCGGTATAAAATCGTGTTTCAGCAAGTAAAACTGTGGTCAAGAGGCCAAAAATATGCTACATAAAGTAAAAGAAAAACGCACAAGATGTACTTAAAAGGGCTACAAAGTTTTAATTGGATATTTTGAAGAAGAATCTGAAGGATTAAAAAGATTTTATGGTGTGTTTTTTTCTTTTATATTATTGAGCCTAAATTATGCCAAGTACTTATATAGTATAGAAAATAAGCCGCAAAAAGAATGAACCGAAATTTTAAAAGTTTAAAAATTAACTAAAATATGAGAGGGCAAAGCTACTTGAAGATGATAATAGAAGTAGGATGATGAAGAGGGATGCATTTATAGCGAGAGAACTCTCTTTGCGTCAAGGAATTATTAGAGAGTGAAGCAATGAATTGTATAAGTAAGCGTGTTAATAGAAGCAATAGAAATTTATTTTTACTGTGGAAAGTTCGAGCACATTGTTAGAAATTGTTATCAAAGATAAATAAGGAATAAACGAATAAAAAATCTTATCTTATACTATATTTAAAAGCAAAAATAATTTTGAAGGTGATGAAAAGGGATATCAGTTGTGCCGAAGGTCTATGAGAAGATGTCTAGTCAAGGATGAAGATAATATGGAAGTAGAAGACACTGAAATATAAAATTTGAAGATTTAAACAGTAGCACAGCATTATTTTTAGTATGAAGATAAGGTCATTAAATAATGTTAAAAAAAAAAGATAAAGTCTATGGCGGGAAAAAAATGGTACAATGGGGCTAGATGATACCGCAGTCTCTGATGGAAGAAAAAGAGAGCTATTTAAAACAACTAGAAAAAAGAAAGATTATTAGTAGTTTAAATTTAGAACGAAGAAATACTATTAGAGATATTGAGAGGTTGAAAAGGGAGTAAAAGTTGTTATTAATTTAATGGCACTGAATGATCTAGTAGAAAAAGATTAATACGAAGTGTCAAATATAAGTGATAATATTAGAATTATTCAAGGATCTAAGTGATTTACAGTTATTGATTTGAAAGTGTGGTTCTACCATTTTTAGATTGAAGAGGGCGATAAGAACAAGATGGCGTTCGAATTTCATTAAAAAGATTACAAATAGAACAGTATGGTGAAAAGATACAAGAACTTTCCGCAGGTATTACAGCGAACAATTGAAAAAATATTTAAAAATTATCAAGGGAATTGTATATAAGATATATGGATAATATTGTTATACATGAAAAAACTATACATAAGCATGGTAAATATTTTTTGAAAGACTCGAAAGAACAAGATTAAATTTAATATTGAGAAGATGCAATTCAGTCAGCAAAAGGCAAAACTAATTTAAGTTAAATTGAATGAAACAGAAGTTGAAGCAAATAGAATAAAGAAAAACGAAACATTAGAATTTCCAAAACCAACGGGGGTTTTCAAAATGAAAAAATTGCTTAATGTAACACTAGGCTCAGAGTTTTATCGAGAATTGTTGTGTGTTGTCTATTACCTAAGTAAAAGTTAAAAAGATGATAATAAGCGAAAATGGATAAAGGGGATTAACGAAGTACTTTTTTAATTGAAAGAAGTGTTGAAAAGTGTGGAAAAATTTAATAATGTATTTATATTAATAATGGGTGCAAGTAATTTAGGGATTGGGACGTTATTGCTAGAAGAATTAGAAAAATGAAAGGATTACTCTGCAGGACAGAACAAGTAAGACAATAAAGTATACTATATTAGAGAAAAAATATGCTTGATATTTTGGCATATGAAAGGGTTAAATATGCATTATGAGAAGAGAAGTCTAGAGTTGAGACAGATAATAGCTCGCTTACATAAATTAGAAGCAAGTCGTGCTTTAAAAACAATAGAATTTACATATAGATAGAAAATATTCAGGAATTTAACTTTATAATAAAAAATAAAAAGATGGAAGAGATGTTTTCTTGAACTTATTAGGTAGAATTTATATAAAATAAAGACCCAAAAGAAAAAAAATTAGAACAAAAAAACAGAAAGATGTTACGGAAAGAGTACATTTTGGTGAGGAAATATTTGAAATTTGTTTTAAAAATTGCAATAATATAATGAAGATGTCGGTCATAGAGATATCTAGCTTGTATTACGCGATTAGGACAAATGTTAATGGCCAGGCTTGAAAAAAATAAATAAAGCTATAAAGAACTACGAACAATGCCAGATATACGATAGAAGAGAAGGAGGTGGTTGCAAGTTTATTCACGCCAGAATACATTTGGAAAGTGTAGGATTTGATAAATTTTAGAGATTTGGTAAATGTGTTTTTGCTGCAAATGATTATTTTACACAAAGGGTTTGAAGCGCCTTACAAGATAAAAAGCTTGATAATTTTGTTAGGGACTCTATAAAAACACTATTTTTGCAAAGAAAAAGATTTGAAGAAATTATTACTAGCAGCGGAAAGAAGTTTATTAATGAGGGATGATTAAGCGTTACAAATAAGTATTTTGAATAAATGAACTCCTTAGCCTATAGGTCATAACAATTTAATTAGCTAGAAATCATTTATGTAGATGGATTAAGTCAAATTTTTTACGATACAAATATAAACCTTTTGGTAAAAAACATAAGGCAAGATGAAAAAAAGCAAGTTTTTGATTTTTATAAACAAATTGTTTGCAGAGGTATTAAAATAACCTTTCAGGATACAATAAAGCTCACACGAACAAGGTATTGTATTGACAAGTAATTGAAATATTAAGCAACCGTGTGGAATGTAAATAAAACAATTCTATAAAAATAAATAAGCTTTACTATATTGATTGTTATGATGATGTAGGGTAAAAAGCAGGTTTTTAAATCGAGGGCCCCTTGAAGATTAATACATTATATCAGCAATATATTATTTTAGTAGATATAAATTTGCGGAAGTAATTGGAAATTGCAAAAGAAAAGTGTACTATAATTTTTAACAAAATTGAAAGAATAAATAAACATTAAAAGTTTAATATGTGACTTGGCCATAGAAAATGTTATATAAAACGTTTTAAAATTTTGTAAAGATAATAAAATATTTATGCATTCAACCTTGTTACATAATCATCAATTGAGTGGCAGAATAGAACAGTTTAACATGGCGATGTTAGAAAATGTAAATAAACACGAATAAAATCTTGAATTGAAAGACTGTGTAAATAAGGTATGGAAAGTTTACAATAATTTAAAATATACTAGTTATAAATGACGCAGCAAGAAGCGAAAAGAGACGAAAATAAGACAAAAATAAAACACAATTAGTTTGAAGCAACGTTAAAGTATTAAAATAAAAAAATAAAGTATGAATAAAAAGTAAATAATGATGTATTAATAAAGAATAAAATACATAAATTAAAAGGCCAACTTAAATATAACAGTATATGAACAATTAAAGGAATGATGGGAAAAGACTCGTTGAAAATTAAACTTAATGATAATAATATTAGAAAAATTTAACGATAGTAAATTATAAGCAAACATTGTTGATAAAAGAGGTTTATTGATTTAGCAAGGGAATGCTTTAGATAAATATTTTAATTAAGTAAATCCTTAACTTATAAATCATAACAAGATGTTTATGCAGGCAAATGGAAATAAAGCATTGTCAAGTTGCTATTGAAGCTCACAGAAGAAATGGCAGAGTAAAACGGAGTATAAGTTTGCTAAGAGAATGTATTTTAAAAATGATGATTGAATATTTAAGAAAAAGTTATGAGAAGTATTAAAAAATATCCTAAGAGCTATCATGTAGGGATAAGGTATATACCAATAAACAACAGACGAAATTTCAAGCAGGTTATGAGTAACAATAGTTCCCATAAAAATTACGGGAAAAGATTATGAAAGGTGAAAGAGGAAAATTTAAAAAGATTAAGCAGGCAAAATAACTAAAATGAAAATATAATGAGATGCGATAAATATGAGAAAGGTATATTTTTAGATACAGGCAAAAATGCTGCTCTATATGAAAAAGATTCATATGTAGTAAAATTAAGAAACGGAAAGTTGTAAAAAAGACACTACGATTTTAAGGTGCTACTTGTTGAGACGGTTTTAATTGATAGACTAACCATCTTGGGAATTGATTCGATATTTCAATAAATATTATTCTACATTATTTCAAAAAAATAAATTTACCATTTTTTACAATAGAGACCACCACTTTTAAATATAAAATATCTTTTTTCTATGATTTTGTAACAATTGTAACACAATATGTTTTAGAAATGTATTTTATAATTAATCAAATCTACATTTTATAACATTTTTAGTAATCCAATCAGGTTATCGCAAAATTCAAATGCTGTAAAATAAAACTTTTAAAAGCATAAATGTCCTTAAAAGTTAAGTTTACATAGTGAAGTTATATAAATAAAATAATAAATAAATTTAATTATAAAACAAACATAAATCTTAGTAAAATTTATTAAAAATTAAATTAACAGAAAAACAATTGATTTTGTTGCGATTTGAATAACGTTTGTGTCATAATAAGAACTATGACAACGCAATTTATTTAGATTTATTTTTAGTTTAAAACCCACAATCGTAAAAATATAAAATTGTTTAAATAAAAATTTTTTAAATAAAGGCTAAGAAAAAATGAAAGATTCTAGTTACCTTTATAATTTGAACAAAAGTAGCTCTGGAACATAAGTTTGTAGCAAAACAATTGACATTTAAAAAATTTAGTAAAATAATATTTAAAGTATGGTCGAGAAATATTTTGAGGATGAAGTCTATTCTCGTAGGCATGACATTTTAAAAGACGGATCAATTCAAGCTGTTAATTCTGTGAAATATACTAATTTTTACCTTTTTATCGATTTTCCCTTTTTTTAACGACGTAAGTATGTGTTTTAATCAAACTGATAAAGAATCATTGTTTAATTAACTTAAAAGATGCAACAATTCCAAAAAAAAGGAATATTATATATTATAATAACGAATTCTAGTTATTTTAAAAGTGTGTACAAAAATTTATAACTATTTAGTTGTTAATTTTATTTATTACGCAAAAACAATGCTTTTATTTGTTCAATGAAAAAAAAATAAATATTCTTATTTAAAATTTAGTTTGTTCTTCTTTTAATCTTAACAATCCGTTGTATCTACTGTTCATACTTTTTATCAGGTTTTTTACACTCTTCTACATCTATTTTATTTACTTCTTTTCAACACAATTTTATAATTCATTTATATTCTTTGGTTTTCTTTTTCCTACTTCTATCATAAGAATATTTCATTAAATAGCTCTTGTTGAAGATACTTTAGGTCATCAGATTGTTTTTATTAACAGCACGCAATTTTTTCAGATTATATTATAATATCGCAGTTTTTATTCATTAAATCCCAGGTTAATCTTTTGTACATTTTGTTAATTTTTTATAACTTAATCTCCTTCTTTTAAAAAATTCCCTTTCCCTCAATCTCAACATACGCACATTTATCAGCGCAAGCATATCACAGGGGCCTCGCTTATTAGGAAGATGTTGTTAATCGCCTGAAGAATATTACTTACAGAGAACCGACAACTGGTAGTACGCACGCTATCAGGCCAGAAGTTTTCATTGGATCATGTAGTCGGTCAAGGCTGTATGTTTCTAATGGCCGGGGTGTCTCTCATCATTTTACGCGAAATACCAGTGTTTCTGAGGTTTGCTATGTCCTTTTCCCACCGAATGTTCATAGCTAATTTCTTACTATAGGATGTAAAAAGCTTTCAAAGCTACGGCAATTGTTGTACCGACTCAAAGATGTTATGCCTTTTCTATATCATTAGAAACTTATAACCCTTAGTCGACGCCTACAGAAAAACTCACACAACTACTTAACCGACAAATATTTATGACAATTGTTATATCAACGCCAAGTTATTACTTAGCGATTTCACAGTGCTGGGATTTAAACCTATAGCCTTCGAGCATCAGAACAAAACTTAATTACTGCACTTACAATGCTCCAGGGACATTTTTTATTTTTATTAAAACAATTTTACGTTTTAAACTTTTTTATACAAATTAAAATTATTTGAAACAATAGAGATTAATAAAAGATAAAGTGTTATTTTAGTACGTTAAAATATCCAAAACAAAATTAATGGTAAATAATCTTTTGTTTGAATTAGTATTGAGTCAAAAAAAAGTTTATTAAAATATTTTTTTTGCAACGAAAAACATAACTTTGCATCTTAAAATATTTTAGAAATCAAAAAAACCTAATTTACACTATAACTGTTTTTTTAAATTGTAAAGGAATTTATATAACTTTTGTTAGGCAAATTTACCTTAGATTTGTTTTTTATATATATGAAAAAAGCAAAAACTTATAAATTAATTGCTATTAATTAAAATATGTTAAAATGTTTGGTATAATGTTCTTATGCGCAAAATAATACCCAAAAATAAGTAAACTATTTCTTTTTTGACCCAAGAGCGTATTTCCAGTCATATTTTATGGCCGTAAATGCCCTTCGAGCCATGTTTTTTAAAAATAAGTGTGGTATTTCACATTAGATTTTTATTGCTTGTTAAGTTAAATTATATTTTTTGTTTATCTGTTTGCATGCAAAAAAACTTTTAAAAGTATAAAATGTGTTAATTTAAACGCCGAAAATAATTAGAAAAACAGAAATGATTACGAAATAAAATATAATGACAATAACAAACAAAAATATTTTGGTTTAAAAAATAATTTTATAAAAAGAAATTCTGAAATAAAGACTTTTTAAAGATATGATTTTTGTCTAGGATATGTCAGAAAGCTTAAGTAAAAAGGTTATATATTTTTGTTTTTTTACAAGATGTAACTTTTTTGTTTTTATTTTATCTATAGTCAGAACAATAGTAAATTCTAAAAGATTTTAAATATGACTAGAGACTTATAATTTTTATTTTAAGTATTAAAAAAAATAATTTATTTAATAATTCTGAAGCAAATTAAACTTTTCAATAATTGATAAAAAAATATCAGAACTTTAAGGTAAATTTTATGTAATATAGAACATTGCAACATTGCTTTATTGACAACTGTTTAAAAAAACAAATCAAAGGTTTTAAGGTTTGTTTATATAATGAAAAAGCTTTTAATTATTTTTTAATAAAGTTTAAATTTCCCTCCATAATAATATACAAAACAAAAAAGAAAATAAATAGCCATGAGATGGCTACAGTACGAAAAAAAATAAAAAAGTATTTATTTTAATCAAATTTAAGTCAAAAAACAATATCGTGACTCTAATTAAAATATTTTATATTAAAAATAAATTTTTATAAATTTAAAAAAATAAAAATGCCCATGAACAAATTAAATGTATTATTCTGGATGTCTTATATTCATTCATTACAAATACTCTCAGTAGTTCCACAAACATATAAAATGTATGAAATTAACTTGCGAAATACTTACCCAGGAAAATATGACTTTTATATAAAAAACCATTATCCGCCAGTTGATAAGATTCCAATTATCACTGAAGTCAAATCACCACTATCTAATATTCAAGGATTTGTTTATATTCATTCTAATCAGACAACTGATACCTACATTAAAAGCTTGTATTGTTTTTCAAGCGATTTTACAGACACTAACCAGATATTTTACCAATTTGAATTTACTACAGCCTTAAAACAAAAAAATATTCTTAACATACAAATTCCTTCAATGCTGTTTAATAATGCACTAGAGTCTCAGTATGGCATTGAAGTCAAAAAAACTTTCGGAAATATTAGTAATATAGGTTTGAAAATACAAAATAATTTTACAGAATTTATACTGTTAAATAAGGCGAAAACAATTTCATCTTCTCGTCAACTTCTTGACGAATTAACAAACAGACCCGGATCAAGAATTAAGCATTCTTTAGAAAGCGAAGATTACATTTTAGCATTTTTTGATAGAGACTATAATAAGATCATTAGTTTTCTAAATGAATTTATTTCGTTATTACAAGAAGACGATGTTTTTTTACAACATCAGCTGCCTATGTTTTTTATAAATTTTGTAAAAAATAATTTAAATACTTTTTGGGAAGAAGAACTTATATTCTCTTTTAAAGATTTTAATACTTTTAAAGATATTCATTTATTGAACTGCTTTTTTACAGATTTAAAAAACTTATTTTGGTTAATTGAGGATCCAAATCACAAATTTGCACTTACTGATCATGATCAATGTATCGGATCGCTTTATGGTAATTCTTGTGTTAATGTTTTATTTAACTTTCAAGAAGACGTGGATGAAAAAACTTTAAAATGCTTTGTTTACGACAAAAAGAATAACAAGTTGAACTATAAACTAATGATTGATACAACAAAAAGAAAAATTTTTATAATGTTTAAATTACGTTATTTGAAAGAATCTAATATTAAACAAATAGATTGCATAATTCAGACACCAAAAAAACATTTTAAATCATGTGATATTAATTTAATTGGATACTTATAATAAAAGTTTATGTAAGATGTTTTTTTAATTTTTATATTAAATAATAACAATTTGTTTTATTATGTGGTATTAAAATTACAGGGAGTTTTCGTTTTCGGCTGATCAAAAATGTCATTATATTTTCTAAAATTTATTTTTCTACGATAATAATCTGAAAAGAAGTAAAATTGAAAATAAAGGATCAGATGTATCAGAAAAACAACTACTATAATAATAAACAAACTTTAAATAAAAAGTAAAATAGCTCTAAAGAAAGTTTATACTTGAATATTATAAAGTATTTTTTCGGCATGGATTAAACTTCTTGTGAAATTTACTAAACACCACGATTTCTATCTAAATTTTGCATAATGAAAATGTCAGTTCGTACAAAAAACATTAAATTTATGTAATTCTTCAAACAATAATTTACAGTAATATAAATATTTTAAAATTTATCCAGATAAATTTAAAATTAACCGCCTTATAAAGTAAAACTTTATTGCTTTGGCATTTATAAGCTAGTATAGCATTACACAAAAAAGTAGGCAAAATTATATATGTTTTAAGCTAAGCTAGAAATATTTATTTTCAAAGAATTGGAGGCTTACAGCCTACTATAGAGCTGAAAATAAAAATAGTAAGACCACTTAAAATGTATTTATTTTAACGCAGTATAATATGTAAATATATAAATTAAGGTCTAAATATATTTACTAAGATGTGTGTCTGGGTTACGTTTTAATAAAACAAAAAAATACAATATATTTTAAACCGAAAGCATTATAAAATAAGAAATATATACGAGCATAAATATTAAATATAAATGTTCTGTATAACAGATATTTCGATTAAGTTAAACTACTATCTTATAAAATTTTTATTTATTTTTTTTCAACCTAAAATTAATACCTTTTCCTTTTTTTGGGTTTACTTTAGAATTCTGGCCACATTTTTTCCAAAAAATATAGATTAAAAAATGAAGGAAAACACCATATTCAATATAAGACAAAACCTACAAAAATAGAAATGTAGGCAGAATTCTAAAGATAAGCAAACTATTAAATATTTTTAGCAAAATCGAGAGAGTTTTCAAAAGTAAATAAACCATAAAAAAGTGCTAAAAACAAATTTTTATATGTACCAAATTTTATATTAGATCACAAATAATAGTGTATACTCTTTTTATTGTTAAAATCTATAAAATTTGTTCGGGTTTTGGTGATTACTATAGATTCCACATGGCCTTCATAATTAGTACTGTGTTTTATAATTTTTTAAAATTTGTCTTTATGAAAATAAAAATCAACGATAAATTCTTTGTGAAATAAAAAAGTCAAAAAAAATTAATTAAAGATGATATTATTCCGTTCATAATCAATTGTCAATGTTTTTTTTATTCCATCAAACTAGTGATTGTAAAAGGTAAATAGACACAATAGCTTATAGACGTGTTAAAAGAGGATTTCAGAAGAAGCACTCTTTATTTCATTCTAAATTTTTTTTAACAAAAGTAGCTCATTGTATCTATTTTTTGTTGTTAGACATCTATTGTTTTCATCTCTAATATTTTCTTGAGTTTTTAGTGCAACAATAACTAAGTATAAAGCTCTGCCATTAGGATGTTATAAATTGTATATTGACATACATTCAGTTATCATAGAGAACTGAGGAATTGCTGTAGAAGTTGATGAAATTGTTCTTTATCGAAGTTGGATATTCGAAATCCCATAAGTGCTGATGATAATAGAGATACTGTTTGAACTGTTGATGGAATTGATCGAACAAGCGAAGAAATTTTTTTCTTGTAAGTGTTGTTAAGAGTACAGTTCGTTCTTTACAAGGAACATTGGGTCCTTATGTTAAGTACTGAAGCACACTAAATACTGATAGCCATGATTCTTATTTCGCTGTTGTACATGGCCTCAATGTAAGTCGTCATATCTTTAATCATTTGGTTGGATTTAGATCATAAGAGAGACTCTATACTAATAATATAAAGGTTTTTGGGCCATATAAAAAGACAATACGAAAGAAAAATGGCGTTTATAAAGGCCAAATAAATAATTGGATTATTCAATATACATTTAAGAGAATATATATCGTGGGCAAAAATCGTAGCGAGTTTGTCGATATTTATTTAAAATTTAAAAAATATTTTTCCATTTAAATTGTTAATATTGATTTTTAACCCTTAATCTTTGAAAAAAATGTAAGCAAAATTTTGAAAAAGACTTTTTAGTTAATATTTAGCTCTTTATATATTGTTTTTAACATATAATTACACCTAAATTATTTCAATCAATTTTTATCAAATATTTTTTTTTTATGTACAGAGACGTTTTCTGGTGTTATTGCCGCCAATAAAGTAAGAATCAATATCAATAAGAGTTTTTATTCAAAGTACTATAATGAAACTGTAATTTTAGTAAGTCTATTTGTTAGGAAAATATTTTTTTAAAATCTATATAATACTTAGAAAGCTTGATTAGCAAGTAAAAAATGAACAAGTTGTGTTGTGGTTTAATAGCCAAAATCTATAAATTTTCAGAAATTGCACGATATTATTGGAAAAATAATGTATTCATAATTTTTGTTTGTAAACATGTTTTTTGGCTAAAAAAAAATTCATACTACTTAGCAAATATAAGATTGCAAAGATGGATTAAAAAAAGATAAAATATCTTTTGTAACCAACTTTAAATATTAAAATTTTTTTTATAAACATTTGTTACTATATTTAAAAAACAACTCATCATTTGTATGCAAATTGAATAAAAGTGCTATTAATTACTTTTTTTCTGCTCTTATTACGTAGATAAAATATGTATTAAGATTAGAAGATTCACAGAAATAATATTTTAGCTAAAAAAAATTTTAAAAAATAAATTTTGAAATTTTAAATTGTATATAAGTTAATGATACAGTTAGCTGCATTTTTTATTTCTATTAAAAATAAAACTTAAAGTGTATAATAGTAATTTATACAGTATTAAAGTTGTATAAAATTTATTATAAAATCAATATAACATAATATGATGTTTTTTAGCACTATCTTGACATATTTACAATTTAATAATAAGTTTCCTTTACTTAATATTATGAACAGATAGATTTTACATTCTAAGTGTTTTCAATTAAAAAAATTATGTTATTTATTTTCACTAATATTGCATGTATTCAATAAGTATCTCACAATAAGATATATTAATTACATCAAATTGTACTTAAAAATTGTTCTTGTTAAAAATTTAAAGCTAATAAATATAAAATATTTAAGATGATTTCTAATATCTTGATGTGCAATTTAAATAAAAAATTTTTCTTAGAAGTGACTCGAAAAAAAACAAATTGTAATTTAAAAATTTGTAAAATATGTTCATTTAATTGATTAAATTATTTGTTGCGACATCTCAAATGTCACTGTTTTCTTTATATTTTAATATAAATTACTCTTAAATTTGATATGTCTAACATTATTTAAACTTCAGAAAGAAGAAAATTAATTATTTAACTATTTATAGTTTATAAACAATCAAAAAATGCAAAAATCTGAAAGTATTTAATTGTATTATTAAAATCAATCCTGTATATCAAGCATTGTAAAACATCATGATTTTTGTATCGTTATTAAAGTATAATGGTGACTCATTCCAATCTTTGTTTGTTAATAACAAATGATTTCCTGGTTTTCCTACCTAAGAGACCCGAGGTCTCTTACGAGGATGGGTCTCTTGGGCCGAAAGCTCAATAATAATAAATTTAAGATGTTATAAATTGACAAATATTGTTGGAGAAGAAATAGACATTAACGATACATTTGAAGGTGAAATATAAGCGATAAAATTTTAATTATTTTCTAAGCAAAATTTAAAAAAATAATCCATTTTTGTCTTTTGAGTCAATAAATCTATTGCGTGGTGAACCTCTTAATAAAGCAAATTTGGTAGAAAAAAATAGACAAAAATTTTCATCTAGGGTAATCTTAATTGGCCAATCTCGGTAGTAAAATATGTACTACTTGTGTTACTTTTTAGCATCAAATTGTTCTGTGATATTACCAAAGACAAATAATCATAAAAATCTTTATCTACATTTATTATTTTAATTATTATTAAAAAATCCATTACCTCAATCGATATATTAGAATTAGAAATGTTTTCATAAAAATGTTTCCTTTTTATTTTGATCTGTTCTTAGTTCTTTTGTTTTGCCCTTTCGTTGGCAAATAAATTTTATTATCAAGTGTTTTTATGTTATCTAATGTATTTTTCAGAATTATCACTAAATTAAAATTCAATGTTTGTTTAAAATAAAAAATGTTCTACAACAAAGATAACATTAAATGGCTAAAAAATTTGCTAAAAATTGATTTGAATGAACAATTATTTTATAAACCAATATTTTTTGCCATTTTTATACCACAATATATTAGATATAAGTTCGTTTTAGTAATAAAATAATATTTAAATCAAATCTCAAGTTGCTAAATACATAATAAAAAAATTTCTACGATTTAGAACATTTTTACCAAAGAATAACAAATAAATAAATGAAAACTTTTACAAATAATAAAATTTTATAATTATCGTTTTAAAATCTATGTTTATATGTATCTTTTAATTTAAATATACAAAAGATCTAAACATTATACTTGAAATATAGACGATTATAGCTTTTTAAGTATTGCTTAACAAAACTTTAAAACTTAAAAAGAATAAATATTAATTTTGTGATTTTATGGTTTCAAATATTAATATTTAATTAATAACAAAAAATGTTAGTTGATGCGGATAACAGTTAGGCAGCCGGGGCTTAGAAAGGTTTTATGATGCAAATCAGCATATTTGTAAAAGTTTTATGCCATAATATAGTTTATATGGGTGCTTTCGTGGGTTAGGGTAGTGACTCTTGTGGGTAGCCATTTAACTATTTCTTTGCATGAAATTTGGAATCTCATATAAAATAATTTAAAAGTGTTTTAATAATAACTTTTTTTAAAAAAAGATAAACTAATTCATGTAGAAAAAATTATCTGGCTTATCAAACTTAAATAACTTTATTATATAATTTTTATCACTTTCTCATAATGGTTTCTAAATTATACTTAATGCAATGTTTTTACTTGCTAAAAATTCAAATTTTAATCTGTTACTAGGAAGATCGGGTTTCTCTAAATTCTTAGCAAAAAAATTTTATTGGAACCACTTTTTTAAAATATCAAAAGCTTATGTATAAATTGCTTTTTAGCTTACAGTATAAAATTGAACCAAAAAAATTTTTATATAAATCTGAGATTTTTTTTGTTGAAATTATTAGTCTATCGTTCAGGACGAATTAAAAAAAGTTTTTTGTTTTTTTGCTATAACTTTGTATACTTTAAATATTTTTAAAATTGGTGTGGTATTATTCTAACCACATGCTAAAAACTTTAATTTTTGTTAAAATTAATTTGCTTAAATGTTTGTGCATCTAAAATTAAAGCTTTACAAAGATACCTTAGTATGAAGTATGTAAGTCAATTAACTAAGTAAAAAAAACAAATTTCATTCTTGTTCTAAAACAAATGTCAAAGCTTGGTGAATCCGTATTTAAAAAGTAAAAGATGCCCCAAGACCCTTGGATATTCTCGGGGAAAGCAGCCAGTGGTGAGATACTTCTCAAAAAGCTTACTGTGGTGCCGTCTTTTCCAGCGTATCCTTTTAAATAAATAAGATTTATTGTTGGATGGGCTATTAAAAATGACTTTTCTATTTTGATGCATCATTGTATTAATATAATTTTTCTTTTTTATAGTTTAACCGATTTTTAATCACCAATAGGATTTATTAATATCTTTCATAAATAATATAATCAATCATCTATATGAAAATAAGGGCAACTTGTGAATTACATTGTCTATTTTTGACTAGATGCCACGCCACTTAATGGCCTGCCTGGTTTTCCTCATAGCAATGTATCTGGTAGTTAACAATGATACTACAGAAGAACCCTTATATTTCTGCAATACTACTTTTTACTTATCGTATTATTTATAAAGCTACAGTTTAAATGATATTTAAAAAATTAATATTTGTGTTTTTTTATATATAAAAGGACATATAATAATTTTATGACTAAAAAATTAATATAAGGGTTTTTGGCTTAAAGAATGATTAAAGAGCTTGTACTTATAAATAATACTATATTTGAGATGTTATGTAATTTCTTGGTAGTTTAAAAATAATTATAGTAACTTATATGAGAGCTTCACGAAAACTTAACAAAATAAACAATTGGATCTACTTTTTTTCCTAAAATAAGATTTTACTTCAAAAAGAAGCTATAACTATTTTTACAGGACGGAATCTTATGATCTTAGTGAAGTTAGAGCAGACATATTTGTAAATCAGATATCAAAGTTAAATATAACAGACAAGATTTGAGTGTTATTGATAAAAAAATTATAAATTTTTAATTTTAAAAGAAAAAATAACATTATTTAATAACCTCCAACAGATTTAAAGTGAAATGTTCACCAAATATAAAATTCTTTCCATCAACTTAACTAAAATTTACAATTTTAAGACAATCATAGTTCCATATGTTACATTATCCAATAAAGGATATAGAGCTAACACGATGTATATATATAAGCCATAATATTATAATCTGAATCAAAGCCTATATTGCAACTTAAGTCTTAAAAAGTGCTGGAAAATTTATTTGATGAATATAGAAGGCAAAATGAAGTCAAGCAAGATCACAGTAAGAATAATGTAAGCTCTTTAGTACCGTCAAGCGTAGGTGTTGTAAATACGTATTCTGCTACGCAACCGTACAAATAAAATATGGTTATATTATAAAATTTTTAAATTTAAGTATTGCTGTATTTTTTCTTATGGCTTCGATGGCTACAATAATGTTTTTTTCATTTATTTTCATTTTACTTTATTTATATTTTTAAAATTTTTTATAAAAGTTTTTTAAAAAATATGTTAAAGTTTTACTTTTAACAAATATCTTTATAATTTACTTGATTTGTGATATTTAAATTTTAATTATTATTTTAGTATTTAAAATTATATATTAAAACCGACTTTTTCCGCAATTTATACACAATCAAATTTTAAAGTTTTGTATTTGATAAATTAAAAAGTCAATATTTTAATATTTAAAATTGGGCGCGATTACACAACTTTTTACTTTGTACTAACGATTTTTTGTTTATATAAGTATAATTTTTCTAAACATCCCCATGGTTACAATTAATTTCATTTTACTAATTTCTTTTGTATATTCTCTAAAGATAATTACCGTAGTATCAAATGTATATAAAATGTATGAAGCTGATTTAAGAAGTGATAATACTACTAATATAAATTTTTATCTAAAGAATTACACTTCAATAAGTAATAATGTTCCATATATAACAGAATTAATTATTCCAGAGACAAATATCCAAAGAATTATTTGTATTTACCATAATCATTCAGCTGGATCTTACATTAAAAGGATTTATTTTTTTCAGAATGACTTAACTACTCCTACTATCTTAAAGTTGCATCAACTTGATTATGCTATATTTTTAGGTAAAAATAATATCTTAAAATTTTTTATTCCTGCAATATTATTAGATAATACTTTAAATTTTCCATTTAATATTGTATTAAGAAAATATCTTGAAGATACAGACGACTTAAACTTAGAAAGACGAAAAATATTTTTAGATCATTTGTTAAATAATAAAGATGAAATAATTAATAATTCAGAGCAACTCCTTAATGATCTTACAAAAAATCCTGAATCAAGCCTTTTTCATTCTTTGAAAGAAGGAGACTACATTTTAGCATTTTTTGATAGAAATTATGATAAGATTATAAATTTTTTTAAAAGTTTAATTTTAGTACTAAAAGAAAACAATAAAGATTTGCAACCAAAACTCTTTAATTTTTTTGTGAATTTTATTAAGAATAACCTAAATAGGACTTGGCAGGATGAACTCAAGCATTCTGGCATAGATTTTGATGTTTTCAAAGATTTTAATCTATTGAATTGCGTTTTTACGGATATAACAAACTTATTGCAGTTAGTTTCTTACCCAGATTATAAATTTCAATTTTATGATTTTGATCAACGCACTGGACTATATTTTGGTAACTCCGTACTGGGTGTTTTACTTCAGCTTCCAGAAGATTTTGACGAAAAAAATATAAAATGCATTGTTTATGATAAGAAGCAAAATGAAGTAACTTTTAAATGCATGTTTGAATATACGAAAAAAAATTTTTATTTTATATTTGATCCAGCATATCTTAAACACTTAAAAATTACAAAAATAAATTGCATAGTTATGACAACTAATAAAAATTATGAATCACTAAATATAAACCTGACGGAGTTTTTACAATAAATTTTGTTTAAAATTTTTTATTTACTTTACAATTTCTGTGCAAAAGAATGTCTTTACTAACAAAAATCTTAAAATCTACAAACAGCTATTGAACAACTGCTTGAATCTAATAGGCCGAGTAGAATGGAAATAACTATCCTTTAAGAAAGGTATAGACAATCTTGTAAAAAAAAAACAAAAAGTATTTAATATTTTCTTTAGAACTTTTGGTTAAGCACTTTTTCTAGCATAAAGTAAACTTATTCAATTTTTTACATAGTACCAACAACTTATTATCTTCTAGTAAATTAATATAACTATTTATATTAAATTCTTCTATTTAAAAATTTTCAATTAAAATCAATAAGAATAACATCATCTATTTTCCTATCATTCTTTACAGGCTTTATTTAAATTTTTGATGCTTTTTATGCTTTAATTTTATAAAAAACTTTTCACTCCTTACAGTCTTTTTGATTTAGATGTCCTAGTGCTTTATTCCCCTTATAAAGAAAAAAAATTTTTCAAGTTATTCTCATAAAAATTGACTAGAAAATATAACCAGTTCGTGATCTTACAAAAAATCAACAAATAAATTAGTATTATGTCTTTTATTAAATAATATGTACACTGGAAAAATTTACTAAATCGCTCTTTTGATAGTTTACTTGGCGTTTTTTTATCAGGTTTTTTTATTTCGGCTATAATTGTATCTTTAAATCTAATACTATAAGAAATTTACTTATAGGGTGCTTTTTTATTAACTTATAAAATATTTTATGTTTATTTTGTACTCTACAAAAGAATAAGCGCAACTTGCTCCCTAGTCGAGCACATTGTCGTAGCTATATTTTCTCCTTTTATTCCTGGATGTCCTTGCTTCCCGACATAAAAAAATGCTTTCCATCGCTTTTTTTAAAAAATATAGATTGAACGTAAGCCTCGATGTTGCTTAAGTAAAACTTTTTTAATTATGCTTATAACTAAGTAAAGTCATGTATACTATAGCAATTAAATTGTTTTGTATGGTGTCCTGTACTGAAGCCCCATATTGTACTTCAAATAATACTCAACTAAATTATTTATTTTCTCTTGTGTTCCTCTACGATTCTTGAAATCACGCCCAATGTTGTCTAGTTTGTTACTATCATTTATTTCATAATTCATCCACACTTCTTTTTATAATTTTTATTTATATATTTTTTTTTGATAAAATAAAAGAAAAACTTTAAATTATGAAAATATCTAAAATGAGCCTTAACTCAGCTTCCTTAGAAATTAATATAAAGACTTTCTCAGTAGTGAATGTCGTGTACATATTAATTTGTGGTTCATTGTGATACTTTATATCACATATAAAATTTAATATAATATTTAACATTCAAAGCTTTTTAAATTTAGAAAATTATCTATTTTTATATAAGACTTGAATTTATACTTTATTTAAGTTTACATCTGTCGACTGAAACATTTTAAACATAAAATTTTTCTAAAAAATGACAAGAAGTGATATTAGCAATTTTTTTAAAAATTCAACTAAAATAGTTCACATAATAAAACGTTTTAAAAACTCTGCCTTTTTTGTGTTTTAAGCTAGATAATTGGAGGGATTAGAACTGCTGTGTTTGCAACGGCTTTACTGGTTATAATTTTGTAGCATAAATTATATTATTTTTTTTTAATATAGTTATCATTTCTTACTTAGTTAAAATCAAACATCTTACATAACAGCTGTGTAATTCTGAAGTATTCTTGTTTTTGACATTAACAAGCCAAGAAATTCTGACTGCAAAGCTATGCTATATAAGATCAAAAACGGCTACAACTGCTATATATAAATTATTCATTTATTAATAAACACTTAAATGTAATTTTATCATTCTATTTTTAAATCAAAAACCTTTTGATCCTAGAAAATAACATTCTGTTTTCTGCATGCTCTAACTTTTGTAGCAAATTTTAAGTGTTATGGGTCGATAAATATAAAAATGTTTTTGACTTAATGATAAACTTTTAGATTTTTTTGGGTTTAAATGAAAAATGCCGAATGTAGGACTAGAAAAATAAAAAAAAGTTTTTTATTGTTTACATCTTTAGAGTTAATATTATTCTGAAAAGCCAAAAGTGGACTGATCAGATTATTGACAATGGTAAATGCATTTATGAAAAAAAGAGATTTTAATTGGAAAAAATTAGATTAATGTGAATAAAATAGTGTAGTATTAATTATTTTATTTGCAACTTAATAATTTTAAAAATTTTTGTATAAAAATTTTAGAAAAATTTAACCATCCAATATATTATTTTCACGAAACAAATAAAACATATATTTTAGACGAGAATTAACCGGGCACACGAACACAAATACAATTTACGAAGGCAGAGACATATTAAAAACTCTTATGATATAATGTCGTACCAGGTTAGCCATGATGCATTATCGAAAAGTTCTTATTACCAGGTCGTCTACCTGTGAATAATTTTAGAAATATAATAGTATTGAATTTCTAAAATTAATTAGCCATAAAAGGATGGCATAATGTTATTAGAAATACATTTGAAAGAAGTAAGTATAGTTTTTATTTATAAAAAGGTAATTAAAGTTTAAGAATATGATGTAACAATTAAATAGTTAAACAAAGTTTAATACATATAATATTTAAAGCCTTTCGGATTTTTTTTGTTAAAGAGGCTAGATTTTATTCATTTTTAAAGGAAAATAGTGGAAGTAGTTATGTATGAAAATTTACTTTTTTGTTGTTTAAATATTCTATTTAAAAGTATTAAATTCGTAAATTTTTTAATTAGTATAGTATAAATTTATTAAATAAGTAAAAAATATATTTTTTTTAATTTTTACATTATAGTATATATTTTAAACCGACATTATATCTATATCAAGTGCATTTTTAGATAATCGCTATTTAAGTGGCATGAGTCCAAGGGATTTGGGATGTCTTAAAGTATTTCTCTAGCACACTTGTAGTTCTAGGATAAAAGTTAGTTCTGTATTTTAACTTATGCGATTTTGTGATATCCTATATCACAGATAAAATATTTATTAGTACTATATGAAACCATGGATATCTCAAATGGCAAATTTAATTAATAGGTTGGTTATGAAACCCATTTTTTAATATAAAAATATAAAAGAACTAAATTTTTGAAATATATATTAATGATTAACAGGCATAATAAACATAATACTACTTACACTATTAATACTACTAAAAATAAACTATATGTTATCAATAAATCTTTTATTAACATCACAGAAACATACCTACGAGAGGATTTCATTAGGGTTTTGGGGTGCTTTTGTCTTCTGCTTGTTGCAGAATAAAGATTTTTGGAACATCAATATTTTTTATTAATTTTCTTTTATTTTTTAACCCCTTTAAATACATTAATTATATAATTTAAATTATGAAACATAAAATATCATATTTCTCCCTATTAAGGAGCCAAATAAATTTAAATAATTATTTCATATGTTAAATCGATTAAGGAGATCTAAGATTTATTATTTAGCAGCAAGATCTAGTTTATGATAAATTGTAAAATTTTTTTTTATCGTCAGTGTAGCATAGTACCGTTACACCTTTATTTATTTTACAGTTTTAAAAGCAGATTAGCTGCTTTACAAAAGGGTTTGAATACCTACAAGCAACCAGCAACTCAATTATTGTTATTTATATTTTACCATATATAACTATAAATAAAAAGTTAAAAATAGAAAGTCGGCATTCTGAGAATGAAAAAAATAAGTTTTTTATCAAAAATTTAATTGAATATTATCTAGAGTGCAAAAAAATGCCTGTTATACAAGAAAGTCAAATCTAATAGTTTGCAACAATAGTTTTTTTTATATAATTAATAATTATAAGAAAGTTAGCCGTTTATATTTGAAAATAATTAGATTATTTTTTACTATTAGATAATTTTAGTAATACAGGCAAGCGCTACATTACTAATAATCATATTTGTAAAAACTAACAAATATTTAAATAGATAAAGCCTTATAAAAGGCATTTGAGACATTAATAAAACTGTAAAAAATTGTTCTGTTAATTTAAAAAAATAAATAATGTTTAATAAAAATTTAGTTCAGAAAACTCTTTCAATTTTGTAATATTAAAACCATATAATCTTACTTTTTTTGCAAACGTTTGTGTATTAAATAAAACTTGCAAAATATCTTTTTCAGCTTTTAAATCAGAAAAATTAACAATTATATTTTCTCTAAAAAAAATTTGCTGCATAGATTGTTCAATTTTTTTAAAGTCAAGTTTTATAATAATTTCATTCATTAAAGTTTCAATTAATGTTAAATTATTAATTAAATCGCCAACATTGTATTGTCTAGGACGTAAATAGCTTTCAACGCTAATAATAAAATTTGCAATTTTTCTAAAAAATTCAAGACAGTCAAAAATGAGATTTTTTGTAGAAGCTGAAAACTTTAAAGATTTAAAATCGTTCTTTATAAGCTCATCAGCCGTATTTTCAATTTTTTTAAACCATCTAGAACAATCTAATATTCTGTTTCGAATGCTATGATATATAAAATTTTTTGTCAAGTCTTCGTATATAAGATATATATATGAATGTTGTATTACATTGGAAAAAAAATTATCTATAATTACACACAGCTCTTTTTTATTTTTAATTAAAGTATTAGAAAATTTAACATGTAAACTATCGGCTGAAAAGCTTTTAGTAGTTTTCTTATCTAACAAATCATCATTTTTCAATTTTTTTTCTTTTGTATAACTTGTAGTCAACCCGTCATTATTAAAAGTTCTTTTGAAATTGGCATTACTACATTCATTGGTCACTACTTCATTATAAATTACATTATTATGCTCGCTAAACATTTTATCTTGTACATCTACATGTTTATCAGTATCACCCTGTTTAAAATCAGAATCAACTAAATTGTAATTATATACAAAATCAAACTCTTGGAAAAAATTTTGTTTATTATCATATTCACTTGGGTCCCAATTAATGTATTTTTCAATGTCAACATCTTTAAATGAATAAGTTTCGATAACTATGTCGTCGATATTTTGATTATTAAGTTCAAAATGTTTACTGATACATCCCTTTGATAGTTGTTCAGTCAGAAATTCATTTTGTTGTTCAGCTGGTATATTTTCCAACTGCTTAGGAAAACTTGAATCAGTACATATGTTACTTTGTGTAGAAAAACTATCATTATTTATCACAGACAAATTTCTCTCTGTTACATTGGTTTGCAAAAAGTCTGTAGCGTTTAAAACATTATTGCAAAACTTGGGGTTATTAGAAACTTTATTTTTAATAATTGTATTTGCATCAATGTCCATTAAATAATTCTGATCAACAAAATTTAAGCTTTCTGTGTTTTGAGATAGCTCTTCATTATCTTTACTTGGAATTGACAACAATAAATCTCCTGCTTCATGTGTATTTTGACCATATTGTTCATATGTACAATCATTATCTAACCAGAATTTATTAATTTTTTCAAAACATCCAATTCCCTGTTCATTTTCTATCTGTATATTGTCATTACATACTCCATTTTCGCTGATTATATTTTGTTGTGTATTTTCTTTTGTGCTAATAACGTTATAACAATAACCGTTAAATTGATCAAATAAATAATTAAAATTAGGATCAAAAACATTCGTTGCAAATATCGACAAAACGCATAAAAGCATTTAAAAGGGGTAAAATTTTATTTAGTATATTTAAATATTAAAACCACACACCCTAAAAATAAAAAATTAACACACATATTAGTTTTAAAGTTGTTAAAATAATTGGGATCTTACAATAATAAATATTTAATATATTTTTTGTCAAAACGATCTTTTAAATTATAATATCAAGTTTTAAAAAGTTGATTAAATAAAAATTTACTTTTTTTAATAAATAGTTAATATTGTTATGTTACCATATTTTTTTTATCAACAAACAAAAAAACATCTCACGTCTGCATCAGTTAATTTAAATAACTCTGTCAAATACAAATGACTACCTTTTATAATATATTATTTATTAGCTTAATTGTTACTAACCTTGAACAAAAATAAAAAGTAAACACATATACTAAATAGTTTATTGATGTTTTCTGTTTCTTTTTTGTTTGTGCAAAATATTTAGTTCATAAAAATTTTATCTTTTTGTATTTTTTAGTAATAAAATTTAAGCACAGATTTTATAGGCAAGAAGAATAATATATATTTTTTTTCATCATTGTTTAAAAACTAATAATTAAAATTCACTTGCGAAAGAAAATAATTTTTTCTTGCTTTTAACTTGGAATATTGTAAAACTAAGGCTAACCTGTCAAATTTAACTCAAAGGTATTGTTAAATAATTACTGAATTATCAGTATATATAAAAGTTTTAATTTTATTAAAAGACACGGCAACTAAATCTTTCCTGTCGTATTTTTTTTCAAAATACAAATCCAAAAAAAATATGTTAAAATAAAAGGCTAAATAGATCAATGAACTTGACGGGCACAGTGCCCGTCAAGTGCCTATTTGTTAAAAATTTTATAAATTTTAAATATTTAAAACCCATCAATGCAGTTGTCAGAATTTTTGAAAACGTTGAACAAAAGTCATAGGAAGAGGTTTTACATATTTAATAAACAGCAATCTTATTTATGATTAATTATATTGCTTACATTGTAGGGCGAAACGTATTTTAAATATGATCATGAAAGAACCTTGGGGCATGTTTGGCGGTGTTATTTTAAAGAGCGAGAATTTTACAGGTTTAGGCGTTTTATATTATCCGGTTCTTTCTTTTATAATTCAAAAGTATTCCTGTGAAACAATTAAGAGTAATATTTTATTCTGGTAAAAAAGTTAAATGCATCTTGATATAATGAATTTTGTAGGTAATTTGAGTGTTAAAGTAATTCGCAGCATCAATGAGAAATGCGATGAAAAATCAAAGTTGTATTTTGGTAATCATCCGATAAGATTAGAAGGTCCGAATGTCATTGTACGAAACGACGAGACTAAATTAAATTTTACCGCGAAAAATTGAACGACTTGATTGGGCGTTAACCATGGCAGGGCAGATACAAGTACTAAACCAGCAAAGCTTCTGCCTCGATGGTGTCTTCTAGAAGTGCAGATATCATGCTTTTAATAGTAGAAAGTGTTATGCGTTTATATAGTATTATCCATTCCGATGAATGGGCGGCTTATAGGGGACTTTCTTAAAAAAATAATTACTCATACGATACTGTATCACACAAACATCATTTTGTAGACTCCTCTACGGTCGTACACACACGGCACCTTGAAAGCCTTAACAATAAGATTAATCTAGAAATTAAAGCTCAAAAAGATGTGCGAAGAACGCATCAACAAACATTTCTTAATTTTTTTATATCTTGCGGCCTTTTCAAGAATAAGGCGTTTTTTGAATTATTGAAACTACTTCAAGTTAAATAAATATCTACTTTATTTAATTATTATGAGCCCGTCAAGTGCCTATAATCAGGTTTAATTTTCTCGTCTTCTATGACCCTTCGTAAAGAGGGTTTTTTTTGTTTAAAAATGATAGGTGTTGTGACAGATTTCAGATATCTCGTTTTGGCTGTAAAACGGATAAATTTGACATGTATACGTACTACATTTGTTTTTTAAAATTCAATATATTAAGTTTAATGCGCACTTATGATCTTAACAAAGTTAAACACTTGGCGTTTAATCACGTGTAGTATAAAATTACAAAGCCTTGCAAAATAAAATAAAACTTTGCAAGTATAAATTCAAGCTATTTTTAAAAAGATAAAATGGTTTTTATAATAGTTATTTGAATAATTTGTATTTTATAATCAATTGTTGTCATTTAAAAATGTCTAAATGCTGAAACTCTGAATCTCAACTGACAGCGAACGATAAACTCTGAAGGTATAAGTTTATAGGTTAAAGAATTAAAGAAAAGGTGGCAAATATAAACATGTACATCTTAAAGTAAGAGAAATTTATATACTTAAAATAAATAAGTTGCTGTATATTTTTAAAAATTATCAACAACACGTACTTAGTTTTAAAAATTGCACTTAATACATTTTTTAAACTTTGTAAACAAAATTGCACTACTTTATAAAAACTTATTTATGTGACTATCTTTATAAATTTATACAGCAATAAAAAATTTTGTAACTTTTAAATTGTATTTTACCCCTACAAATGAAAAAAGAAAATATAAATAAAATTATTAACCATCTTTATAAATACGGTACATATAAAATTGATAGTAATTTATCAGTAAAAAAATTTTATAATAAGTATATAGATACATTTAAATTGCCGTCTTCTACTGATGGAGAATCTTCTATTGGCAAAATACTGGAAATTCAACCTGTATCTTCGTTTTATAAAACAATATCTACCGATAGGCGAAGCACATCATCAAATGCTAAAAAAATATTACTACAACCACATGATAAAAGATTCAAAGCGTTAATAAAGGATATGCAACTGAGTCTAATTAAACAGCTACATATTATACAAGAAATTATTGATAAGCATAACATATTCTGTACAGATGACACGATAGATATTATGTGTTCAGACATATCTGAAAATGATATTAATGAAATATTAGAGCTGATTAAACAGACAGAAGTGAAAAGCGCAGTTGATGAAAACAAAATAAAAGAAAAGTCTGAAGACATTGAACTCAAATTTGAATCACAAAAGTCATTAACTGACGATGTACATCGAAATTTATATCCACGCACTAAAAGAAAATGTTCTGTATTGTCTAATGACGTTGATAATAAGCGTAACGATAGCTCAAAACAAAAAGAAAATATTGGTAGTATGGACGCTAAAGATACCAATGAATGTAGTACATCTACTGCTACTTCGCAATTTTGTGAAGAGGAGAGAAATAACACATCGGGTATTAATAATTCTTTTTCCGATAAAAATATTCTAGAAATGATATTGCAGCTTCCTGCTCCAGAATCAAAAAAATTAACTAAAGACTCTTCTGATGATCAAATAGATAAAAAACTAGCATTAGCACCAGCTTTGCACAAGAAACAAATAACTCATAATAATAATTCTGCCATAACAAATGATGATGTAAGTAAGTTAGAAGATTTTTCTTGTATACATAAAATAGAATGTTTAATAGAAAACAAAACCGATTTAAATGTAATGTATAAAGAAAAAACATTTATTGACAACAACGAAACTATAACTTCAAAAGATAAAGTATTTAGAATAAGCGGGAGAAAAGATTTGCACTTAAGGCCATTTGAAAAAAAAATAAAGACCAACCAAATAACTACTATATCAAGAAATAACAGTAAACAAAAACAAGATAATTACAACCTTTGTAAGAAAATGGTGACTGAAACATTACCAATTGCGGAGAAGTTACAAGTGCCTATTTATTTGTGTAATATGGAAGCCAAAAGTACACCTCCGGCTAGTGTACCTTCCTTTAATGTTAAAAGGCTAAAAGAAATGAGTAAAGACAAATATAAAGAAAAACTAAACGTTAAAGTTCCATCAGCTAAAAATTATGCAGATTTATTAAAAAGATCTAGAACACAAAAGTAATCAATTCTCAAAATCATAATCCATTTCTTTTAGTATTTCTTTTGACGTTGTATTTTTCCTCTCTGCTATTTTATTTACTAAGGCTTGTCCTATATCTTTCAGTTCATTATAAACATGTAAGTTTTTTATAAATTTCTTTATTTCAATATTACAATCTTCTATATTCATCTCATTAGAAATCTTTTCGTTAAAATACTTGTACAGTTCATATTCAACTGTATCTATTGACTCTGTTAGAAAATAATATTCTGTGTCTTGTATGCTTTTTATAAATCCCTTTCTATTTAAAAAATCAAAATTTAAGATTTTGTCTTTATGTATTATTTTATTTGCAAACCAGTCATTGAATATTTTTGTCATTATTTAAGGGAAGTATTTTTTGTAAAAAAGTAATTAGAAAACGGTAAGTATACCATGTTACATGACTGGTCTACAAATAAAATTTCTAAATGACGTTTACACATTATGTTGTAATTGATAAATGATTTAACGGAATCTGTTACATTTTCAATAAAAGAAAAATGAATAAATTTTTTATGAATATGCTAAAAATTTTACAATATTTATACACCGTCACGGCTTCAGAAAATTTAGCCAAAACTAATACAAGACATTCTTATGATGATTTAAAAAGCTTAGAACCATATGCATATATTTACAACCTCCCCGAAACTGGGTCTGCAAATGATACAAATCACTTTGGATCAATAATAAATTATGATGCATAATAAAATATTTTAAAGTAATAATAGGTTTTTATGCATTTTATTGAACTCTATATTTTTTATTTATAAGCTTGTTGTACAGTAAGTTACGTATTAAGCTGTAAAAAAAACCTGCTGACTTTTAATATAATACCAAATGTCGCGAGCCCAGCTCGGGCTATAACAACAGAAAAGTAATGTTAAAATTTTACAAAACTTTTTCAATAAAAACAAGCTATTTTTACTATCTTAAGGCATAGAGCTTATAAATAATTAAATTGCATAGTAAGGTTAAAAATTTTTTTATAGGTCTATATAAGTAATGCTGTATCTAAAGTCCAAAAATTTTCACATGATGATATTTTTTTATTGAGTTTTGTATTTTAAAAAATTAAATAATTTTTTAAAAGATATTAAGAAATAATATAAATTGTGACCTTTTCAATCTATTAAACAAAGATTATTCGTATTAATTTTTTTTTTATGTTTTCATATGTACTGGGAAACTTCATGTCTAAAGAATCCGAAAAAGATAAAATATTATTCATTAAATTGTTTATTCTCTACTTCAATAAAGGTTTTTTATTCTTGTTTATTTTGGTTTGTATTCGTATCATTTGTCTTTTTAATTTAGAAATTGCATTGTTTTTTTAAATAGTTTTGATTTATGTAAATTATCATATATGGTGATTGACATTCTAAGTTATTGGGCTCTTTTATTTTAGTATAAGTAGTTCTAAATTTTAATAATGACAACTTGTCAGATCAATTTCTATTTGTAAAATATCTTGTAAGCTCTTGTTTTAATAAAATAACTGCTTTTCTTTTACCGCCAATCTTGTTTTTCAATCGAAAATATTTTAACGATTATTGAGTTTTAACAAAAAGATATTATCTCAGCTCTATCCTTAAAATCAATTAGCAATTATTTTTAGACAAAATTTTTTTATTATAGCTGCGGGATGAAAAAATATATCAAAATTTAAAAATTTATTTAATTTATTTTTAAATTTATTTGCAGAGTTAAAATCTTTTACGGCTTATTTTTATTCACCTACTTCTATTTGTAAAATTATCATTAAAAATAACATAAACATACGTTTCAAGCGTCACAATGAGCTTTGTCTTGTTACATTATACAAAAGCATTGTAGGTTTCAATCTGTTTCAAACATTTCAATATAAATTTAAGACAGGAATTTGCGAAATTTGAAAACTTAAGTATTGTAAAATTCATAAGAAAAAGCACACTGCGCGGCTGTAAATCGGGGCGCGGGCTGAACTCGCGACAATAAATTTTTTCTTGTTTCAAATTTATGCTCGACTACTAACTTTGTTTTTTATAAACCTCCACTAAATAAAAGTTTACAGATAGTTTTTTTAATTATAAAGACATTAAATATACATGCATAAATAATTTGATTTAGCAGAAATTTAAATGAACACTTATAATGTATATTTTTGTGGTATTAATTCCACATGAAATACTTTCTATTTTCTGAATTTTCTTGAAGAAATTTTAGTATAAAAATATTTTATGAAAAGAAGGGCATTGCTGTCATGAATAACTTACATAATCATCAACAGCAAGAGAATCATAGGATCAATAGGGGATCTCACAAGAGCACAATTCCCCATGAAGTTAATAAACCATTTAAGTTACACCAATTTAATTTGGCTTCGTGAGCAAGCATTGTAGAGAGCTTTCTTAGTTCTGGTCGCCTTCCTGCGTTTGTCGAACAATTTTACAACAATAATATACAAATTAACTTTACAAATTATTGTTTTTATAAAAAGTTAATTGTATTAATAAAGTTAATTATACGCCCATAACAATATATTTAAATATGTACATAGAAAAATGACGCCACCATATTGAAAAAAGTTCTCTCATATGTTATAAATGTGTTTTTATAAACATTTTTGTTTATATATTTATGTTTTTATTTTAAATTAACTAAATTTCTTGATATTAATCTTCTATCAGTACTCATATATTTTAGTAGTATGTCATAGCCATATATGACAATAAATTATAATTTGTTTTTTTAAAATTTTAAGTTCCCACAATTTCTAGAATTAAAGTAAATTTAAATAAAAATTTTAATGAAATAAGAAGAAGAAAGAAATGGAAAGCAAAAATTATAATTATAATTTTATTAAACAGCCCAGAGCAGAAGTAGGGCGTGCAACGTGTAAGAAAAAACATATTAAATATTATATCACTGAAACTAAAAGTATTGTTGAAAAATATTTGAAACAAGGGTATTACTCTCTTGGGCAGGAACATCATGAACTTTATATTTAAATTATAGTTTTAATTGTTTGTTTATATAACAACTATAAATAAATTAACAAATACAAGCTAAAAACAAGAACAAAATTGATAATAACACATTAAACAATCAAAAAAAACATTCCTACAATACCTTAAAGTGCATTGTTAAATTTTCACCTACCCTGATTATTTTGCGAGATATTAAAAAAAGTAAATCGTTAGAATTTAAAGTAAAGAAGTAGAAATTTAATTTCTATATTTGTTTACAAATAATTTTTTTTAGGTCTTTGAAAGTTAATTTGTATAACAATTTTGAGAATAAATAAACCATGATTGTTTATTTTACTAATCAAATCCTTAAATTTATATCCTGCTTTTTAAAAATATATTTTTTAATTTTTGCCTGTGTAACTTATCTATTTTTTTTTTAAATGCTATAAATTTATATCATTTTAAATTAATGAAATTACAAACTAGAATGTATATTTTATAAATTTAACTGTAATGTTAAGGCAATTGAAAATATTGTAAGTCAAATTTATTTAATTATTCTCTTATTATCTGTAATTTCGATGGGTAAAAATAGCATAAATATTTATGGTAAAATTATATAAATAATTGACATGTGGTAAATGATACCACATTAACCTTGACAAGAAATCATTGAAATCAAAAAAAATTATATATAAGGTTTTAAATAAATTTATTATGTCCTTAATAGTTGAATGCCCCACAAATATATCTTTAATTTTAAATTATATGTGAATTAAAAAATAATTTTTTTTTAATTTAATAATAAAATATTATAGTTTCTCATAATTGGGGTTAAAGTTATACAAATACTTAACGTCCCTTTCCTAGGCGGTAGCTTCACGACACACCCCGATCACAAATATAGTTTTTTTAAGCCATAGTGTCTTTTTTTTCACAAGTTTTAGAGTAACATCAAGCCGTATATGTGTTATTCTCGCATTTAGCTTTGATTGCACTTGTATTTGGAAATCTGCCTTTCTCGTATTTATCTCACCTTTTAAGGTTTTCACGCTTTGTTATTCTCACTGTTTGGTTTATGGTAAATTTTTCTCTATATCATTGCTTAAATTGTTTCGCATACGTCCCTTCTGGACCATTCTGAATTATTAACTTGCTTATATCATCCTTAACTGCTTCCTGTTGTGTATACCGTAATCCTGTATGGTAGCTATTGTTATAACAAATACTCTGTTTACTAAATGTCTTTAAAATCTATGCCTGGTGATTTTATTTGGCTTCTCGCAATGTTCCTATAACTTTTTTCGACTTTACCACTACTTTTATAGGCTTCTATGCCTACTTTCTATGTTTAATGTTCAGTTTGTTGCAAATTTTTTCATTCCTTTATCAACAAATTCTTTTCCGTTATGTGTAATTATTTCATCGGGTTTCTTTCGTTGTCGACGTAACACTTCTAAAAACTTAAGATTGTTGAATCGCTCTTGCTATTTAATAAACATGTTCATTACAGGCGGGTATGGTAATCAATCAAAACTAAAATATATTATTTTTTATTCCTAAATTTAATTAGACCCAATGCAATTTTCTCTAGATACCTTGTCGCATTTACAAGGTCGCAACCACCTAATTTTTTTCTATTATTTATCTGTCATGTTTTAAATCCTTTCAATGTCTTCTAAAATCCTTTTTTACTCCAAGACAAAAGTATAGTTCTCTTAAATAATAGTAATCATTTTGTAGTCCTCTATTTTCAAGGCCTCGTGTGTCCTTTTAATTATACTGTTTCTATCTTTTTGTGGTAGAATTAATGCGCTCTAACCACTGTAAAGCTTCCAACATTCGATTCCATTTACAACCTCAATGTGTTTGTTCGTTTTCCCTTCAATTTGCTTCTTAGTTTTTTCTTTTAAGCCTTCTTCGAGATTAATTTTACTTAAAGAATTTACTACTACTAAAACGCAAGGCTCAGTATATTTACTTTCAAAATCAAATTCTTGTATTTTCTCGATCCATCTATTAATTCTATTGTTATTAAAACAAGGTTTCTTTCTAATCTCGTCAAGTGCTTTATGGTCGGTTTCAATCTTAAATTTCCATTCTTGAAGTTAATATTCAAATTTCTTTACGCCTCAAAATACTGCGTATGTTTCTTTTTCGCTAATTCCATATCGTTATTCTATAGGCGAGAACTTTTTAAAGTCTATTGTATTAGGACCCATTCATAAAGATCAATCTTTTGTAGCAAAAAAGTACCCGTGTTGTAGTTACTTGCGTCTGTTCTTAATAGAAATTTTTTTGTATAATCTGTTACTTAAGGTTCCCTACTTTTCTTACAATCTCTTTTGACCCATTAAATTCTTTTTGATCTCGTCGATTCATTTATTTGCTTATTTTGGCCTTTTAAAGCGTCTGCCAAATGCAGTATAAGACCCACATAGTCTTTAATAAAATTTTTAAACCATCCAGTTAATCTTAAAAATTTTCTTAACTCCGAAATATCCTTTGGAATAAAAATTTCAACTGCTTAGTTTTGCTAATTTCAGATGGAGTGATTTCTTGCCTGTTTTAAATAACACCTGCCAATTTTATAGATTCGTGACAAAATTTTATTTTTCCGCTGTTTACTCTCATTTTATTTTAATTCAGCCATTTAATACATTCTATAAGCACTTCATCATGTTTCCTTTTGGTATTTGCGTGGATTACGATATTTTCATGTATACTTCTATTCCTTTGCCTCTGTATTCATCAAAAATTTAATCCATAGTTTTCTGAAGTAGCTGAAGAGAATTTTTAAATCTCATGACCATTCATATACTCTTTATTTAAACACAAACGTCGTTTTCTTTTTATCTCCTTCTTCTTTCTCAATACTGCAGAATCCATCCTTTAAATCGATAACTGAAAAATACTTTGTTCCTTGAGTATATCTAATGAAGTCTCTAATATTAGCTAGTTCATACTCATCTTTCTCGATCAAATCATTTAAAGCTATCAAATTGCTTAAAAGGCCAATTGATCCATTAAGTTTCTTTATGCTCTAAAAGAATTGCGCCATTCCGAGGGAGATCTCTGAATTATACCTCTAATTTCCAAAGATTTAATATATTTTCCGTATCCTTAATTAACGATCGGTTCACTTTTCGACCTCTTTTGATGATCTTTTTATCTGGTTCTTTATTGATTCTGCATTTTTCAACCCTACAGTATTCTGTTTCTCTTTCCTCTAATTCAAAGCATTCTAAAAATTTTCTTTTCAATTTCTCTAACGTCAAAACCTTACTGTTAAATATTTTTTCTCATCTTTTGCTATTTCTTTTTAGTCTTTATTTATTTTCTTTTAAAACATATTTATCTTCTGTTAAAACAGCCTTTTAATTGTCGTGAAGGTATAAATAGATTAAACGTTTTGTTTTTGAAATAATCTTTATTTTTGCCTTCTCTTGCTAGGTTCTTTCTAACATAACGATCCTTACTTGAATGTCCCCTTTTACCACAAATATAAAATCCTATTCTCCTAAATAATCTATAACTACCTTCGTTCCTGACAACATTCCTAGTGGTTTCTTGGTTCTTTTTCGTCAAATACTTCTCTACTTGCAGTATTAAGTTTTTGATGCTTTCTTCTTTTTGCTTTTGCTGCTCCCATAGCAAAATTTTCCCCTATAATCTTTCAACAATAATTTGCTATCTTTCTTCCACTTTCATATTCCTCTAAATAAATACTTTCAGTTCAAACGATGTTCTCTCATACATAATTTTTTTACACACCTCTTCAACAATCTTCGCCATAGTTAATTTGTATTGTAACAACTTAACCTCTGCAAAAATTATAGGCTCCTAGTCACAGTCAACTCTTGTTGACTCGTTTTCTTTTGAGTTTACCATATTATAGTTTCTAATAATTAGAGTTAAAATTATACAAATTCATAACAAAATATGTAAAGAAGCAAAAACAATTTTAAGTTTTATGATTCCATTTCTTTAATTTATTTTAGATTTAAAAATTTAGCAGCCTAAAACAGAAATTAAAGCATAACTGGCCAAACAAATTTATTAAAAATCTTAATTATATAAGCACAAAAAAAACACAATTTAAATTATCCACTTGACATTAGATTTCTGTGGTATTTAAATTAAATTTTGCAAATTTTTATACCCATAAAATGAACGTATTTACAGCCAACTTACATAAAAACGAAAAAAGGTGTATTTTGCTTTTTATTTGTTACATGTATACGTTATTGATTAATTTTACTATACTTCTGGCACAGTATAGATACAATTTATCGGTTTTGGCATCAAATACTACAACAATGGAAACTTCCTTTATTGTTAAGCTTTGTAATTTAGATAATAATGATTCTGAAAGTATAGGAATTAATGATTCTGAAAGTATAGGTATTGATGATTCTAAAAGTATAGATGTTGACGATAATAAAAAATTAGTAGATCCAGCAAAAAGAAAAAAAGTATCGAAATTATGGCGGCAAATTTTATTAAAATGGAAGTGGATAGTAGGTGGTGTATTCACAATATTATTATCATTTATTGTTATCTTTTGTGTAGCTTATGCAGGTGAAAATGTAAAAAGTTTAGTGCAAAAAAATGTACCCCATTCAAATTTAATGACAAATAGTACATCGCCTTTTGATGCTGTAAATAATAACCAAAGCATAGTAATTAAATCTAAGAATTCAAGTATTTTCAAAAATTTCTTAAACGAACCCTGTTGTTCATGTAATTCTGGCTTTAATGCTTTGGAGTTTATGTTTGGTAAGCCTGAATATATTGAATTATATAAAAAAATTTACAAAAATGGTCCCTTATTCGTTGATACGAAAAATGTTGTATATAAAAATTGTATTAAAGAGCCGCATGAAGAAATGATTAAATTTTTGCTTAATTTGAGTGATAATTTGAAATCTACAGCTACTGTTGTAAATGCATTTTTAGTGCGAGAGATTCAAAATTCTACAGGAGATAAGCTTGGATTTTTTGATAATATAACAAAAAACGATATCATTGATTTTAACAAAGCCATCTCACAAGATAATTGTCAAAATACCAAGAATGATTTAACAACTAGTTATTTTATAGATTTGTTTAAAAATGATTTTATATTCTCAAAAATGATATTTGTAAAAAAATATGATCTTTATAATGAATCAGAAGATTATTTTTTTGAATTTTTAACGTTGTGGACACAACATGTTAAAAATATTAACAAGAAAAATGACGAAATAATCTGTAAACTTTCGATTAATCGATATAAGTTAGCATTAGGAAAAATGCATGAATTGCTATCAAAAAAACTTAAAAACATGACAGTAGACCAAAAGTTAAAACTTGAAGATTTGTACCTAAAAATTTACAAATTGGATTCTATTATGTCAAAAATAACTGGTAAACTACATAAATTGTTTGGTATCGACAAGAGTCAACTACAAAATTTTAAAAATTCTAGTAATTATTTTGATATTCTGTTAGATATATTGTTATTTGGTACTTATCATGATCTTTTTGCTAAATGAAGATCTACTCTTTATGTTATTTTAAAACTTTATTAAAAAGCACTAATAAAATTTTTAATATTAATTAAAAGTAAAAATGTATTTTTAAAATCTTAAAAATTGGCAAATAACTTATGGAAATGTACAAACGACATAAGGCTTTTAAAACTATTAGGGATATAAACATTTAGGATTATTTGAAAGTGCATAAAGTAAAACATGTACAAAAAATATAGAAAAATCATAAAACAGGTAAAATATATGTTTAATATTAAAGTTTAATTGCAAAAAAGTAACTGTGGCAACAAACCAACATGCACTGTCACTGGCGAACTACTACAAAAAATGATTTAATACTAAATGCAATAATTATTAAGAGGTTGAAAAAGAGTTGGAATAATTTCTTGAATATCACATCTGCTAACAGCCATCGTGTAAATAATTACATAACATAAATTAAAGTTTTTTATTGGAAGATTTTAATTGAGTATTTTGTTTGATAACAAATTAAAAAGACTATTTAAGGAGCTTTTTTTAAAACTATTTATTAAAAGGTTTATGAAATTAAATGTGTTAATTAAAAAACCTGTGGTTCTATTATTGAAAAATATTAAAAATGAAAGACATGACTGATATTTCTGCAGAAACATTATACATTTTTAAGAAAAGAGCTGGGAAGATATAATACAAATACAGGCTTTAAGAGTGAAAGAACATTAATACAAATTTAACACAACTTAGAAAACTCTAACAATCGATGCTTTATTAGAAGATTAATATTATACACAAAAAATAAGATTAATACACATTTTTAAGAATATTATTATTATTACAGTTAAAATTTATATTACAGATTTAATATATAACTGTGATATTGTTTATCACAGTTATATATTTAACTTTCTTTGCCATAGATAATTATTTTTATTTCTACCCTTCGGAATTACGAAGAAAAAAAACTATTATCTGATAAATTATTTGACCTAAAATAAAATATCTTTAGTTACAGTAATATCAAATTAAAACTATTGACTTTCTAAATAAAATTTTTATAGTGAAACCTCGAAAAAATTAACAATACACAGTTATCCATGCTTTAAAAGTACACATTTTTTTTGGTGGAGAACCGTTAAAGTTCTCTTATTAAGAATCTTAGACGATTTATTATAAGATTAAGATTTATAGGCTTGGCGTGTCGTTCTTATGTGATTTAAAAAATAAGCCTATATTTTCTAGTAATAATTCTTTCGGGCACAATACAAGGTTTTAAATAAAAGGCTGCGCTGTATAGCTGAGATCGTTTTTTCACATCTAGTCGCCTACCTGTCAGTATTGTCAAAAATTTAAAAAAGACTTTATTTTGTCCTTATAATATTATTTTTTACCTCCATTTAAAACTACTATTCATGCTGAAATTTCTATACATTTGCCATTGCAAATTCTTTTGCTCTTTGTATTGCAACGTTTTATAATAAATTTTTATAAACAACAGTTATTTAAAAACAATATTGCATTAAATATTTAATGTCAACATTTTTTGTAGTTAAATAAAAAAAAATAAAAGTTTGTTGTAAAAAATAAAAACATTAAAAGAAGAAAAACCACCAGGCCACCAAAAACTCCACTGTAAAAACAAAACATTAATGTTGCGCTTGCATGCCAGCATACCTTTACGGCCTTGCTTATAGGAGAAAAGAGAGTCCTCAAGAATACATTATTCTTGGTCCACTTAAAGACCATCTCTCACCTTAAGTGAGTTTACAGAACAACATCGCCTAGCTCAATACATCAATTAAGAACACAACTCAGTTCAGCGAAGTGGTAAAGCAATAGTATTATGCCCAACCCCTCCCAAGTCAAATGCAGTTAATTAATTATTTTTTATTTATATAGATGTTAAGTAAAATATAAGAATAAATTTAAAAAATATGTTTTTTATAGTCTTAAAAGATTGTCTTGACTAGTTGTGTACTAAAATATTGTAGTGCTTGGTTTCTAAAAAAACAAGTTGATTTTTTTTTAAAAAATTAATTCTCCTAAGCTTCATAAAAAAAATATTTGTATTTAATAATTAAATTTAATTAAAAAAATTATACTCAAAAGAGTTTTGGATTTCAAAACGTTGTGATATTAAATTTTAAAGCTCTCTTTCTGATCTAATTTAAAAATATAAACAAATCATTTTACTAAAATAATAATTTATTTTTCTTCATTCGTTTCTTTATCTTCATTTCCCTTTTCATTATTTTTTTCTTCAGACACTTCTTTTTCCGCATCCTCAGATGTTTCATTTTTCTTATTTTCAAGTTCTTGAGCTCGTAATTTTTCCTCTTCTTCTTCTTGTTTCATTTTCTTCAATTCTTCCTCTGCTCTTACAATTGCAGCATCAAAATCGTTTTTTAATGCATCAAAAGGCGATTTGTCAAAATTTGAAGCAGTAAATAAATCTAATCGTAAATTTTTATCAAAAGCTTCAAGTTTATAATAAATTCCTTGTAATTTAAAATAAGAAGGTGTCGATTTTTTGGCAAATTTATCTTTACATTCATTTATAGATGTTTTCATATTAACAATTTCTTCCTTAATACTACTTTCCAATCCCTCTAATTTTTTACTAACAAAATCCAACTGTTTAATTACGTCATCTCGCACTTTCACCTCCTCTTCAATTTCAGAAACTGAAGGAATATCAAACAAGTCCATAGCAACCTTTTTAACTATTTCTTCATCTTCTTCATTAAAAAGCTCCTGCAAATTTCCAGTTATAGCATTTAATAAATTCATAGCCATGGTTTCTAATTCATTTCTCATATGTCCTATTTTTTCAATATTGGTTTCAAGAAGTCGATATCTTTCTTCTGTATTAATCAATTCTTCTTTTTGATCCGAAGACATTTCAAATGTTGTATATTTGTAATCAATATCTTTATCATCTACCTTTACTGATTTAACATCAATAAATCCAAGTTTATTAACTTCTATAGTAATTTTTACTGCTTCTACTTTATCAGAGGATTCTTTATTTATTTGTAAATCTCCAATCTTAAGTACATCTTCGAATATTTCTAAGTTAAATGCATCCTTCTGTTTGTACGTAACACATTTAGATGTTCCTATTAAATCTGTTTTTTTTAATATTTCTGTAGATTTTTCCGCGTTTTCTAATTTTATTGAAATGCTTCTACCAATAATATCATTCATTTTAAATTTATTAGAAACTACAGAACAAGCTAGTCCCAGTGCTGTACCAATAGCACATGATTCTGTTAAATCTAAAGTAGATTGAATATCTAATTTATCACTTAAAATATTTTTAACTAAAAATGAAGATGAATTACCCCCTGTAATTTCTGTTACTAATTTAGTATCAGATTCTTTTATGACATCATTAATAAAATTAGTTAATTTATTAGTACTTTCTTTACATGCTACAATGTATTCTTCTTGGGTAACTTGTATGTTAATTGGCGTTTCATTAATATAAATCTGTATATTAGCCACTTCCGCAGAATTTAACACTGTTTTTAACTTTTCAAGATGTCTTAAAATATTTTCTTTGCATATTATTTTATCTGGAATGCTATATTTTCGCATAATTAAATTAATTAATTCATTGTCAAAATTTTGCGCACCCACCTTTATATTATTTATGTACAAAGGTGTTAATACAAAATCTTTATAAGTAAAAATACCTGCTTCTGTTTTTGCGTGACCAAAATCCAAAATCATAAACTTTTCTGGTATTTTCTCTCTACGAAGACAAGCAAACATTGCTATAGCAGTAATGTCATTAAAAAACCTTTCTAATTTCATATTACAACATTTCATAATATCAGCCAAAAATTTTCTATCTGTGTACGTACAATAAGAAGGAATAGATACACAAATAGAAGGAGCTCCTCTAGTATTATTTTTTATTATCCTATCGAGATACTTCATAAACATCATGTAAGCTTGGCAATTTTCAGATTTTGATAAATCATCCCTAAAATTTCTGTATCTTAAATTTATGCTTCCTTCATGTTCACCAGTAATACTGTTACCGAACTTTCTTATAGGAGAAGTAAGTTCTAAAAGTGTAGGAATAGCTCTTTTGCCCTGTTCGTCTCCTAAAATTTTACCATTATCTTTTGATGATGCTAGTGTAGTTTTGTAAGATCCAAAATCGATGCCTAAAAATTCCATTCTGAGGGGCAAAAAAAATATTTTTTTATATTTTAAAAAATTCTAGAAAATTCATGAAAAATCATATAAATAATTGGAATTGACTTTTTTTCACTAAATGTGTAAAAATTTTAAAAAAATTGTTAGTAAATTTATTTAACTATATAATTGTAATGCTTTGTTACAAAAATTATTGATGAAGCTTACAACTTTATTCATTACTAAAAATAGATTAGTTTAAGGATTACAAGAAAATATTTTAAAAAGTGTAAAAACAATTAATTTAATATTTTAAATATAAAGTAAATAGATATTTTATGATTTAAATAAGTGTTAAATGTTTTATTAAACGTGCATAAATAGTTTAATCTTTATTAAATTGTTTATATTTATAATTCCTTATTAATAATTCTTAATCAAGATTTTTTAATATAATTAAATTCTTTACTGAATATACAAGATTTGTATAATAAACACTTTAGAACAGATGAATTAAATATGTTTATTAATTGTATCAAAAGTATTTAATTAAAAGCAAAAACATAATATTATCTAAATGATAAATTTAATATAAATATAAAAAGCCTTTTTTTGTAACAACAATATTAATAATTCATTCTATTTTATGTGTATTTAACTAAAATATAGCAGTAATCAAATAAAAATTAAGAATGAGAATGTGTTAAAGCCATTTTACCTGAAAGAAAATAATTTAAAATAATATTAATTTACCAAATACACTATATTTGAGATATTTTTGAAAAATGAACTTTAAAAAATAAATAATTATTATTATGCTTTTTTGTAAATAAATTAAACTATTTTTTAAAAAAGTATAAAAGCATCAAAATATTCCCACTCTATGAATATTTTGTATTTATTTTCTCTGAATTTCTGTACAAATCAATTTCCGGTAAATTACGAACCACTTACTTACGATGGCTTAAGAAATATTTTGTCAGGATTTACTAATCATTTTCTCCAGCATGTCGCCGATAGCGAAGAAAGAACTTTAAAGTATATTAATAAGACATTGGAATCTAAATTTAAAGATGAAATGGAATTACATACAAAATTATTGGATACAATGTGTAAGTTTAAGAAAAAAGAACAGGAAAGAGGAAAAAATGATTCTATGGCACTACTGATACCATTGTTAAAAGCAATGAAAATAGAAAACACCGATAATGTACTACTAAGCTTATTAACTAGTAAAGGTGCCGATAATAAAATGCTACCCTTTCTAATTCATTTAATGTCATCAGGCGGGACAACGACTCGAAGTCAACAGCAACCAAACCAGAATATACTTTTAACTACCTTGTTAAGCCGATTAGATGAGGATGGAGATAATGACAAAACACTTTTAAATTATTTGTTATACCAGACACTATCAGAAAAGCAAGATCAAACATGTCCTGTGACAAATCAAAATCCTAATTTATATGGACCCTCAACAAGTAGTGCCCCTTTTATTCCACCTACGATTTATGGCCCATCACTAAATGTAAATCCTCCGCCTACAGTTACCTACGGCCCATCACCTGCTGTTAATCGTGATCAATGCTTTCCCAATGTAGCAACATCTTGTCCGCCGTTTCAAGAATCATGTCCTTTAAATCAGGGCATAGAAACACGGGAATATGGTAAAAACTATGGCCGTAGACCTTGATTTTATTAAAATGTAAATATTTGTTATTCTGTTAATGTTTTATCATAAAATTTATTTAGTATGTAAATTAAATCACAAACTCATAAAATATACTCTTTCATTTCAAATAATGTAAATATATACAATAACTAAATATTTAATACTTTTTAATAAATTAAAATGCGTTGTTTCATAATTATAATTTATTAATATTTTTAATAAAATTTACAAAATTGACTAATTTTTTGAATAAAATAATTTTTTTATGTTTATTTTTCTGTATTTTTGCATATTTTTAAATTTTGCTGTACAGCTTTAATATATTTACATCAATTTTTTTTCATAGAAAAACAATATAAATGTTACTTTTTCCTATTAGTATCTATTATTAAAAACTTTAAATTAATAATTAATTTTATTTACAATTTTTACACATTTTTAATTTATTAATAAATATATTAATTTTTTAAAATATAAAATTTACAAACACTTTTTTTAAAAAAATATATTTTTACACCATTAAGTAAATAAAGTTAATGTAATTTTATATAGCTGTAAATTATTTTAAATAAACTTTATTTTTTTTTAAATATAAATACTCCTTTTTTTCTATGTTCATGTATTTTTTTACTCTTATACTATTTTTGTACACTTATTACATCTTTGCTACGGAACAACAGCATTTATTAGATGTTGATTCTCAACCATTTTTAGTCGCAGAAAATTTAACATTCGAAGAAAGTACATTATGTCAGAGAAAACAACTAGATTCTAGTGAAATACAAAATTTAAAATTTTTAATAAAAGATTTATTTTCTAAGAATGAAGAAAAAATTAATAATTTATTAAATATCTGTAGTAGTAAATTTGATATTAATAAGTCTTTGGATCGTCAAAGTGAAAAATTGGAGTTACATCTAAAAAATAAATTTGATATTTTGGAAGAAAAAAATTTGGAAAGACATTGTGAATTGAGAAACGAGCTATCAACAATCATTTCTAGTACTATTGAAACTGAAATAAAAAAGAATATATCGGCCGTTACAAATCTACAAACTGGTTTTTTTGATTTTTTCAACAAAAAACTATTACCTTCACTAGTTTCAGAAGCAATTGTTGTCACTTTACATGATTTAAATGAAAATTTATTCTCTAGCATAAGAGAATTTTTGAATGATAGCGAAGGACGAATAGTTAAAGATTTAAAATCTTACATTAAATCTAAGGAAAATAAAAGCCTGACGAAAGAAATAATGGTAAGGATGATTTTAGAAAATTTAAAACATGATAAAAAAATGCATTTGCTTTTATATCTATTAAATAAGAAAGAGAAAACATCTGCTTCACCATGTAAAGAAGATGAATTATCTTTTAACTAATAATTAAAAATGTAAATAGTTTTTTATTTTTTGTATTTAATTAATTTAAAAAAAATCAATAAAAATTTATCAGCTGTTTTCTTCATACATCTACTTTAATAAGACAAATAATAAAAAAGTAAATAGTATTATATTTCTTGTATTTCATCTACTTCAATGAAAACATATTGTTTTTAAAAAATTTTTAGTAATTTATTTTTGTATTTCGTTTACTTTAGAAAAAATTAATGAAGGTGTAAATAGTCTTTTATCTTCTGCATTACATCAATTTCAATGAAAACAAAATGTAATTTTTTATAAAATAACAAATTTATTTAATTAAAATCATTTATTTATAAATGTCTCTCGTATAAATCCAATTTCTTATCAACCAAAGCACATAAATTATAATTTTCTTTCACTAATCCTAAAATTTCATCATCCTTGTCTTTATTTTCTTCTACGTTTCTGTAAAATTCATCAGATACTTTTTCAAACTCTTTTATGCACACAATAAGTTCATCATCATCATTATTTTGCACAATTTTCTTAGAATAGTCATCTAGTAAATTCTCGAAAAAATCTACATTTTCTTCTAACTCAGACAATCTAATTTCTTCTTTTTCAAGTAAATCATAGAGTACTTGGTAGTTATTTAAACTATCTAACAGTTTTTCATCTTCTTCGTATATTTCTTTAGCTTTAGAATTAAAATCAGCAATGTTTTCTTCTAATTTACGTGTTTGTTCTTGTATTATTTCATAAATAGACATTTGTACAAATGAAGTATTCTTTTGTGTATTAGTTAACTTACTATTTTCTCCAAAGATAGATGTTTTATTAACAGAAACATCACTAACATTCGTTGATTCTTTGTTTTCTTTAACAACCTCTGCTTGCTCTTCTTTTGATGGTAAATTAGAAACAACCGGTTCCTTGCTAGTTACACTTGTAATTTTCTCTCCTCCTACTTTTTGTACACCAGAGACAGGTTGAAAAATCGAAACAGGTTCCTGAGGTAATGTATTTACTGCTGATGCAGTGTTAAATGGGGCTGTGGTAGTAGTATTTAGAAATGGATTGGTCGCATTTGATGATATAGAGGTTGGTGCTGTTTGATTTGTATTGGTAAAAGGATTATTTGAAGGCTGTACAGTATTTGTAAAATTATTAACATTTTGATTTACTGTACTTGGTATACTAGATGTTTGGGCAGTTGTATTGGGCTGAGTAAGAGTAGAATTCTGTTGAGCGGAAAAAGGATTTGGCTGATTGAACATGTTAGTCGATGGCTTTGAAGAAGTACCAGTGAATAAATTTGATGTTTGTGATGTACCAAATGAATTAAATCCAACCCCGCTTGAACTTTGTGTCCCACTTGGCTGACCAAATTGCGATGATCCAGCTGTGGCGGTCTGTGATGATCCAGTTGTAGTAGATTGTGGAAATCCTCCAGTCGTAGATTGCGGAAATCCTCCAGTTGTTAATTGCGGAAATCCTGTTGTAGTAGATTGTGGAAATCCTCCCGTGATAGACTGTGACGATCCTGTTGCATTAGATTGTGGCCATCCTGTTGCATTAGATTGTGGCCATCCTGTTGTAGTAGATTGCGGAAATCCTGTTGTAGTTGGTTGTGTTTGTGCTGAATTGAAGCTAAATGGATTTGTAGGCGCCGTATTCTGTAAGTTATTATTTTGCGTATTACCAAATATACTACTAGATGTTTGTAGCGGTACATTGGAAGAATTTTGCTGCGTGGAACCAAATAAGCTTGATGTTGTATTTGACTGTGAACTACCAAATGGATTAGAATTTGCAGTAAATTGTGAAGTTGGTCCACTTGACTGCAATTGTGTCGAATTTTGCTGTGTTTGTCCAAATAAAGACGGCGCATTGGTCTGCGTCGAACCAAAAATATTTGCTGATGTCGAAGATCCTGGTTGTGCAGAAGAAAAAAAAGAAGGTTGTGAAGTCGATGATTGCATATTTGTAAACGGATTTGCTTGATTTCCTTGCTGTACATTTGTAAAAGGGTTTACTTGATTTCCAAACTGGCTTGTCAAGGGTGTTGATTGACTTCCAGTTAACATACTACCAAATGAATTCTGTTGAGTTGTTGATTGCTTGCTAAGAAAAGGATTATTCTGCTGTAATTGTGAATTAGTCTGCTGCGTTGATGAAAAAGAAAATGGTTGAGAAGCTTGAGATTGTTGTTGTGATTGATTTCCAAACGACGAATTGCTTGTTAATTGTGTACCTCCAAATGGTAAATTATTTGTCGATTGCGTATTTAAAAAAGGGTTACTCTGTTGATTAACGAAGCCGAATTGTTGCTGTGGCTGATTTCCATTTTTCAAATTTCCAAATGGATTGGTATTTTGTTGTTGCTGCTTTTGGTCTTCATCCTTTTTTTGATTAAATAAGTTGAAGTTCATTTTAAGGGCAAAAAAATATTATTTTTAGTAGTAAATTACGCTTTTTAAGCTTTTACTAAAGTAAATTTCACAAAACAACGATCATTTTGTATGTTTAAAAAGTTTAAAACGACGTATAGTGTAAGATGAATTATTACAAGAAGTAGCATTTTTTTAAGACCAATTATAAACTTATAAAAAAAATAATACGTTGCGAAAAGTTAATTATTTTGCTTATTACAAAAACACTAACACTTTTCGATGTTTATATATAGTTAAAAAGCATAATTTATAAAAGCATACTAGCACAGTAGCAAATATTTTTCTTAATGATATAAATTTTAAAACATTGTTGAGTTTCTAATTAGCAATATAATATGTCATTTAGCATAGGACGGCATTGTTTTTCAAACAAATTCTATAAAGTTTTTAATAAAAAAGTTGGTATCTTTTATTTGACCTATTTTTCTCTTCACAGGCTTTATCTCTAAAAATGTCGCTTTTTCCAACTTTCATCCCTTTTCTCCCTCCATTTTTTTATTTTGTAATTTTTAAATAAATTACGGCGGAAAAATATATTAAAAAACAAATAAAAATCCTATTCGCCCCATAAATATCATTTACAACCATTTTTATTTAATTTATTTTAGGTTTATTTAAATTGTAATTAAATCGTTGTGATATTCTAATACACAAAACCAAAAGTTTTTATATATTTTACTGTTTAAAATATTTTTAAAAAAGTTAGATAAATTTGTAAAATTATAAATTGTTAAGGCATTACTTTAGATAAAATTTTAATTGAAATATTTGACACTTTAAAAAGACCTGGGATTTTTTTACAGAACTCAAAAAAAGTTTAATTTGAATTGTTGAGTTTTTTATAAAAATAATAGGAACAGTTATGACAAAATAGTACTATAAAAAAGATTGTAAGTGTTTTTTACAGCATTATTTTATGAAAACAAAAATTTATTAGAATTTTGTTTGCTTGCAAGAATTTTTGTAATTTTTTTGAACTGATATTCTTTAGAACTTAGTAATTTTTAATAAACGCTTTTTAAATTATGATAAATAATTGTTAATTTTTAATAAATTTTCTAAAATTTATAACAGGACGCACATAAATTAAGCTGATATATTAATTTAAAATTTTATAAATTTTTAAATTAAATCTCAAGATAGTTTTGCTGACAAAAACATGCATATAAATTTAATTTTTTTGCGTCAGTTTTACACACCATTACAGTATATTTTTAATGCTAAATCTTGGAAATAAGAATGTTCTTATTTTTAATTGAATTATGATTTAATACATCCAACCAATTAAAAAATTTAATTTCTAGTATTTAACGTATAGAATTCTCTTTTTTTAATTAAGTTCTCAGTATTTTATTAATTATTTAAAAAGGAATAAGTTACCCCTCTTTAAAGGATGATTATGTATTACATATCAGTATTACTTATTTTTACAGTCTTATTCCACACAGAATATTTATGCGATTACTCTGTGTATTACAAACATCCATATTTAACATCCATGCTTATTTTACCGATTATTCCATGGAATTATATTTTAGCGTACAGCTCAAAATTATATTTAAAAAATATGGTTTTACAAATGAGGACGTATTTTGTAAACAAGATTATGCTGGTTTTCACGCTTTTTATGTTGACTTTATTAATATTAGATAAGCCAATTGTTAGTAGATATATTTGGAATGAGAATTTAGAGATTATTATTCCTAAAGGGAATAATATTTCTGTTTATTATATTTTTAATACAGATACAATGAATGATGGATCTGTTGAAAATTTTCTAGAGAAAGCAAAGATGTTTAAAGGAGATGTTTTTAGGTACAGCTTTGGAGCTGGTAATTATGAAAATTTTGAAAATTTTAATAAGGAATTTAAATCTATTAAATTTTCAAAACTCAATCATATTAAGTGTTTTGTACTTTTTATTCCATTTTTAAAGATTCAATATTTTGATGATTTAATTTATGCTGATTACACAACTACTAAAAATAAAAAAGATAAGATTACTGTTGCAGACACGGGGGAAGTTGCAGAAAAAATTACAGATAAAGGAGATAAGGTTATTTATGCAGACACGGCGGAAGTTAAAGGGGAAATATATATACCAGTGCCACCACCCTTTAAATCTGAATCTTTAGGGTTTTTCTTGCCAACATATGGTACGGAAAGAGATAAGAAAGAAGAAGTCGGGAAGGGTTTACAACAAAAAAATAAAAAAAGTGAATTTACAAAAAACGGACAAAATTTGAGTTTTGCGGAAGATTTGAAAAAATCTCTTGAAAACATGCCAAAAAAAAACTGTATCGAGGATCGTACAAAAAATCTTAATTTACAAAAAAAAGAACAATCTTCTAATGATTTTCAAAATGAGTTATCAAAATTTGTATTGAAACGAAGAATTTTACTTGGATATAATGATTCGAGTTCTTCAAAAGAGAATAATGAGGAAGTAGAAGAGAGCGAAAGTGATTCTTTTTTTATTTTTCAACCATCGAAATTGTCTGCAAACGTAAAAATTATTTGCGATGAAAAGGATAAAATTTGTGAAAATAACCCGGTAAGTAACTTACAACTAGGTTGTAGTAAAAATAATGACATTAAATCTTTGATAAATCATAAAAACGATACTACTATTCATTCAAGTTCTGATTCTAGCGATAAGTTAGATACAGTTACTAGAACTAAAAAAAAATGGAATGTAAAGTTAAAAAAAGTTGATAATAAATATTTATTAAATAATACTAAAGAAAATAATGTTCAAGACACAAATGAAAATATCAATCATTTGCAAGTAACACAGGTTAAAAGTACATCAACCTCGGATTTAAATAATAACTTACCACAAAAGGTAGAGTCAAATTTAGATTTAAACTTTTCATCAATTGGAGTAAAAAGTGGTAGTTCTGATTCGACAGAATTCTTATCTGCTGAATCCTCTGATACCTTTTACTCCGCGACTTGCTATAAAGATGATGAAGAACGGGCAGAAACTATAATTAATAACACTTTAGATGATCTTAATAGTACACTAATTACTACGTTTGAATCCAATATTAATGAGGAAAGTGGGCTATTAGCTATGTCTGAATCTAATGCTTATACTGTTGATGAAGTCGACAATGAACTTTTATATTTGCCCAAATCTAGTATTAATGAGGACAATGGATCATTACACGAAACAGAATCTAATATTCATGAGAATAGTGAACTAGTTTATACATTAGAATCTGATATTAATGAAAATGATAGTGGGTTGTTATCTACATCTAAAGATACGGCAAATACAACTTTAAATAAGAATAAGGAAATGGACGATAATTTATCATCTACATCAGGATCTAATAAAAATACGCCAAATGAAATGTTACCAAACATGAATACGACAGACGAAATGTCATTAAATAAAGTTGAAAAAAATAAGCCTGCTTATACTTTTCAAGACATGATAAAAAAGGGTTCTGAAAAGCTTACTAATAGTTTTGCTACAAGTATAGATCCTAGGGACAAATTTTTACAAAAAAAATGTACCAATGATTCAAACATTTTCACTAGATCAGCAATGGTTGATGATTTTGTTCATCAAAGAGATGTAGAAATTAATACTGAAAGTGATAATGATGGCTGGGATGATTAATTAATAAACTTTATGTTAAAGTAACATTTCTTTAAAAAAGTAACTTTCTCATAGCTTTTTATTTTATTCGTCACTTTAATATAATTCTGTAAAAATATGTGAAAATTTTTAAGATAAAAAAGTAATTTATAACTAGTATTAAACATTTTTTAATCTAACAATTATTTAATTAAATTTGACATTTTATTTATGTTTACAAACAAATTAAAAAAATATTGGTATAAAAATAACTTTCAGCATAAATTTTAAATAAACAGAAAATATTTCGTAAAAATCTTGTACAAACCATCTACTTTATTTTGCTTATCATAATAAGTTTTTTTCTATTTATAAACATTTAACTTCTTCTAATATCTGATCAACAACACGAATAAGTTCTACTGGATCCATCCCCATTTCTATTAGCTCATACATACAATTAATAATTTCGTCATTCACAAAATCAATGTCTAGCTCTTTGCAAAATTCCTTAATAAGATCCAAATTTTTGTTTATCATTTTAAGGATAAAAATAATTTTATTTACCCCCCCTTTTGCATGAAAGATCTAGAAATATTTTTCTCTGTACTTTTTATTATTTCTCCAATAATAGGCTATATTCCTCAACTGTACACTAGACAGATAGTATTTCCAGAATTTCTGTCTGCTTTAACAATATTGGCTAACATTCTTAAAATAATACATTTTACAGGAAAATCAAATGCTTTTACAGTCATTCCTCTACAAGGAATGTTTACTATTTTACTGCATTCATGTTTACTCCTATTTAATAAGTCTATTTACTCGGTGACAGAAGAAAAAATTATGAAAAAACTTAAGATATCTTCTAAACAGATATATGTTTCTTATATCATATTGATTTGTATGTGTATACAAATATGTGGGTTATTTACAAGATCTTTTGAATTTTGTGGAATACTTTCCCTTATCTTTGAGGTGAGTGTTAACTCTGTACAGTTACTTATAGAGAAACAGAAAAAAGAAGTTATTGTGGTAGATGTAAATAAAAAAGTTAGATCACAGAAAGAATTATACCTTGTATGGATTATAGGAGATATTTGTCGAATATTTTTTATGGTTTGTGCTGATACACCACATGTTTATACAATCGCTTCACTAATTCAATTAGGCATTGATGGTTATTTACTTTATAATTAATTAAAAATAAAGTATTAAAAATATTATACAAATATTTATTACATAAAATAACACTGTCTCGGATATTTATTATCTTCTAATAAATATCCTTTTTCTTTTATATAATTTTCTCCATACACATGTCCACTGTCATAAGCAAAGGCTCTATTCTCTTCTGTAATAAGATCTTGACTTCCTTTACATAAAATTACACTATGTTCTCTTCTGTTAAAAGGAACTTCTCTTCTTAATCCTATAAACATACATGCAGGACACTCTTCATTAATAAATTTATAACACATTTTTGTTTTATATGAAATAATACCATATTCTATTCTTTTTTGAATTCTAGTATTAAAAACACCAAATGCTTCGTACAATTCAGCAAGCGGAGTCTCATCATCGACCAATTTATCTTTAATGCATAACAAATTTATATAATACTTTTTAGGAATATCATTTTTCTTAAGAAATGTAATGCATTCAGAATATTTCTTTAATAAACACATATTAAGAAAATGTCTTATTTTTACTTTTTCTTCAATGTTGTATGTTTTAAAAATAGTTTTATGTTCTTTTAAATATTTCAATAAATCCTCATATTTATTATTTCTATATTGATTTATTAATTCATCGGTTTCTTTAAAAAATAATATATCGCTTTTTTGATTAAAAAAATCACTAAGCATTACTGAGGCCTTATAACATCTATTTATATTAAAATATTCAACAATTGCAAAAATCAGTGAATTGTATTTTTTTCTTTCAGAAATTTCTTTATTAATGTTTTGTATTTCATTTATATTTTTGTTAACAAGATCTTTTAACCTGTCAAGTTTATCATTGAAATCTAAAATCTTGTTTTGTTTATGCAATAAAAATAGTTTATCAATAACACGTCTTGTATTTTTTATTATATTGTTTTTTTTTATTTTAAGAATAACACACATATCCATAAGGGAAAGAAAATCTAAATATTTATAATTCATCGTAATTAATTTTCTTTTTTTTCTTGACTTGTTTTATTCCCTTAATTTCTATAACAGGTTTTTCTTTTGGTTTATCATTAATATTTTCTAAAATAAAAAGCGTATTTTTTTCTTTCAAATCAAGATCTTGTTTATTTTCTTCTGTCAAATTTATTTTATTGTCTGTGTCATTAGATACTTCGATAGGTTTACTTAATGGACTTTCAATTACATTAGAAATTTTTTTAGTAGCAAATTCTCCTTTTGAATAGATTTTGTGTTTATTTGTATCATTAATAATCAGATTAGGATTAATACCATTTTTTATATTATAATTTCTTGCATCCTTTTTATTTTTCTTTTTATTTGGACTATCGATCTTGTTTTCTTGCTTATTTTCCAACACATTCGTTTCATTAGTTAAGCGTTCGTTTTCACCACAAAAATTTTTAGCATTCAACGGTTTAACAGTTTTTTGTGAACTTAAAATTGTAGGTCCTTCTTTCATTACAGCAACAGATTTATTTATATTTTGTATTTGATCATAATTAATCTTAGTAACCAATCCTTCTAAAAAACCCAATTTACCATCTTGTTCATTTCCTTTAATGTAACAAATATCTCCAGTATTAAAAAAGTATTTAATAGGCATATTATCCAAAATTGCAAATTTATCTGGTGTGTAAATGTATTTAATAAAATATTTTAAGCTATAATAGTGTGCAAAATATCTTTTAATGAGATCTATAAGACTGTTAATAGTACTTTCTGGGTCAGCTTTTATTATAAATCTTTTATTACTTTCAGTTATTACTTTAAGAAAAAATATTTCTGACATTAATTAAGGGTTGAAAAATAAAAGTCGTATTTTAAAATCTTTTAGAGGGATGTAAAAAAATTTTAAAAAGTTATGATTTCAATATGTTAGAAACTTTTAAAGTTTAGATTGTAATATTTTAAAATTTTGTGCTATTATGTATAGAAAAACGGCATTAAAGCGCTATCTGTAAGAAGAAAGTAAAAATATCTAAAAAATCTCTAGATAATGCAATAATCTAGTAAATTGTGTAATTTTATATATTATATTTTCATAGCAATTAGTTATTTTACTAATTTCTTTTTAATAACCAAACTTGATAAATTACAAAAAATTGTTATACTTGCTTTTTGATTAATTATGTTTTTTTGGTAATAAAAGAAATTCATGTAAAATTATGTACAATAGTTTAAAAGCAAATATTTTAAAAATTTAATAATAATAAATCTGCAAACACTCTCTTATAATATTAACATGTTTACTTTAATTTACAAAAATAATTTTACTTTGAAAACTTCAAATTTTAATATTTTTTATTAACAACAAAAAATCAAATTTTTTAATTTTTGATACTAATTTATAGTAAAGGCAATACATTTTACAACGCAATAACATTGTAAATATATTAAATAATTTTTTTTGTTTTTAATTAACATTTAATTAATTTACATATATTAACTCCTTTTAAGAATTAACCAATAAAAAACATTATTTGTTTAAAATGAATATTTAAATTCTAAAACTTTAACACCCAATGGGTCTATTAAGAAGTGGTAACATCCTTTCTTGGAACAAACTAAAAAAGACAAAAGAAATTATTAAAAACCGAGGAATAGACCAATTTTTTACGGTGTATACACGAAATAAAGACAATGTAACACCAAAAAAGGCCTTTGGTAAAGAATTAGAACTTATAACTGTTATTAAAACAGGAAATAAATACAAATTATATTGTGGAAGTGAAAAAATTATAAGTAAAGTTGAAGATAGTTCAGTGGAATATGCTAGATACATGGTAGAAATAAACAATTTAATTCCATATGACGATAAAACCATTAAATGTGTAGAAGATGGGATTATTAAAGGGATTTCAGACATAGAAAAAATAACGGAAGATAATGTTTCAATTATAATGATGCCTTGCTTCCCATGTATGAATTTTCAATATTTTTATGACTTAGTACCTCTAACCGATGATATAACCCTTTCATTAAATTTTCCTGATAATGCCATAACACAACATAAAAGATTTGAGTCGTTTACTAAAAATATTCGGAACAGGCGAGGGAAGAAACCGGAAGGATACATTGAAGTTATGGATGATATAAATACGAAATTTGATGAATATAATAAATATATACACATAGATTCAATGGGCCAAGGTATGGGTTGTTGTGGTCTGCAAGTTACGATGCAAGGTAAAACAATAGCTGAAGCTAGATATGTATACGATATGATGGGAATACTTGGACCATTATTGCTAAGATTAACTAGAGGAACGCCTTGTGCCAACGGTAAATTATTAAAAACTGAGACTAGATGGGAAATGTTAGAAATGAGTGTTGATTGTAGAAAAACGGAGGAAAGGGGAAGTGAATGCATGTATTCAAATAAATATAAAGAATATCCATATTCTAAAAAGATTCCAAAAAGCAGGTGTTCTCCATTTGATTTATTTATTTCTAATGACGCTAGAAATTTAGACAAGTACAACGATACAAATCCACCGATCCACGTGCCGATTTTTAATAAATTAATAAAGAAAGGTGTTGATGAAAAATTGTCGCGACATGTAGCATCTTTATTTATTCGCGATCCTATAGTCTCATATGACGAAACAGATGAAAGCACATTTGACGATTTTGAAAACATACAAAGTTCAAATTGGAGATCTGTAAGGTTTAAAGTACCAACAGAAAGTTCTGATAAAGATTTAAGAGGATGGAAAGTTGAAGTTCGTCCTATGGAAATGCAAGCAACTCCCTTTGAAAATGCAGCATTTATATATTTTACATATTTAACTGTACAGGCTATTCTTCAGTACAATTTAAATTTTTATATTCCTGTTTCAAAAGTAGACACAAATTTTATACGTGCGAATCATTTTATTCGGAAGGCATCCGACTATAAATTTAAATTGAGTGAAGATGAGCAGAAATTTTGGTATAGATCCAATTTTGACTCAAATGAAGAAGCGCAAATTTGTGAAGGTACAATAAAAGACATTTTTATTGGAAGTGAATCAGAAAAAGGTATTTTGTACTATATATACAAAGTTATAGATGAAAATTTTTTTGATCACAGAGATTTTTTACTAGAATACATAAAATTTATAGAAGATAAAATTAACAATAAATATCTTTCATATGGTGACTGGATTAGAAAATTTATTATTAATCACACAGACTATAAACAAGACAGTAAAATTTCAGACAAGATTTTACAAGATCTTATAGAAAGAATAATAAATATTAGAAAAGAAAACAATTTAGACTATTTAAAAAACATATAATTTTTTAATAAATTATTATTATATTTTTTAACCGTGTTTTATGTTTGATTTTTCATTGACTTTAAAATATATTAACACCTTTAAACTGGAGCATTTTAATATTACATGTAATGATTATAATTATAAGACTGGTATGTTATGCTTTGGCACGTCTGAAGGTAGTATTATTTTTTCAAACACTAATTTGTCTAGTGACCTTGGAAATTTAAAGTTTATGAATAAAAATATAACTGATGTACCGATCTATAATGTGAACTGGCTTGACGATTCAAGAATTGGCGTAACATTTTCAGATTCAATGTTTGTTATATTTGATATTTTATCCGATAAACTGTTAATATTAGAAAATAAATCTGCAGCAGTGAGGTACATAAAGAGGTATGATAATAATACATTTTATACCTGCGGAAGAGATAATTTTGCTAATGCTTGGGATTTTAGATTAATGAAAATTGTTAAGAAATTAGAACATGACAATTCAGTGACCTGTATTGAATTTAATAATAATTTTATATACACAACCTCTACACCAGGCACAATAATAAATTTTTGGGATATTAGATACACAAAAAAGGGGAAGTATTTTGCTACTAAAAATATTGTATCTCTTTCTTATTGTAGAGATTTAAAGTTTTACAAAAATAATTTATATAGTAAAAATATTATATCTCATGTACATAAAATATCGCAGACGACCTCTTTTAATCAAAAACTGGTTAATAAAAATATTGTGTCTTATTGTGGTTCACTGACTTATAACTTCTTTTATGATGTTTTATTTACTTGTGTAGATAATGAAGTTTATTGTGTCAGAGATAATATTTTTTATAAGATTAGTTCAGATTGTCCGGTTTGTGCTATAGGATGTATTGCATATAAGAATCGATACATTTTATTAAATAACGCACAAGATATTGTATTGTACAGAATAGAGCCAAGAATTGATACAAATAAACATAGTACATAATATATTGGTTATTTTTTTTTTAACTTAAAAACAAAATGTATGCAAATTTAAATGAATTTTAAATCTAGCTATAAAATTTTTTCTCTCAATAGTTTTAGATTTAATAAACATTTTAAAACTAACGTATATAGTAGTTTTATTATATAAATCAAACTGTTGATACATTATTTTAATATAAGCCACATGCTTCTTGTTTTAGAATATAAGTTTATTTTTTAGTATATTAGTTTTATTGATAAGTTAGAATGGGGTATAAAACCAGTAATTATAAACAAATTTTATATATTTTATTAAACACAAAAATAAATACTTAAAAAATATGATTTGTAAATTTAAAGCTGTTACAAATGTCTTGTTTCAGTTTAATAAAACATAAACTTTTTGTTTACTATTTTATTTACCCTTAAAATGAAAGAAAAAGATTTATCGTCTGACGCCTACCTGGATCCTAATTTTGACTATAAAAAACTGACAAAAACGGAACTGAAAAAGATTTTGTTTGAAAATAATGTCAATGTTCGATCTAATGCCCTAAAGCAAGAACTTCTAAATTATTATAAATTATATATTTACGATAAACTTGAAGATCTTAAAGAGAAAAAAATGAAGGAAATAAAAAAAATGAGTAATATTTACCAAAGTGGAAGTTCTATTGTAGATATAAATTTTAATGATCAGTCTACTACAGAAAAAGTGGTTAGAAGGAATAGTTTATCGGGTCGAAGTATTACTGGTAAAAATAGTTATATAGAGGAAAATGAACCCATTTCGTTAAATGAAAAGTTAGAACGAATAAAAAATACACCTTCTAGGAACAATTCATTTATTAATAAAGAACAAACAGAAAAAAAGGAAAATGAAGAAACTATAAGATCTGAACAACCTTTTTTTAGTAATGTGGATAAAAAATATTCACCATTAAAATCGAGTGGTGTCAAATCTGCAAAAAATGAAAAAAAATCTGATGAAATTTCTCCTGATACTAAAAAAATTGTAGAAAAATCTTCTGATACTAAAAAAATTGTAGAAAAGTCTCCTGGTACTAAAAAAATTGTAGAAGAGTCTCTTGATACAAAAAAAATTGTAGAAAAGTCTCCTGATATAAAAAAATTCGTAGAAAAGTCTCCTGATACTAAAAAAATTTTAGAAGAGTCTACTCCAAAAAATATAAATTATTCTTCCGAAAATGCATCATTTCGACAAGTAATATCATCTAGCCGTAATAATATTTCTAAAGCAGATAATATTTCTAAAATCAATTTAGAAAAGGATAAAATAAAGACCAATTTGCCTTCAAAAAGTAAAAATGAAAAAACCATTAACGACATAACAAAGAATTTATCTTTTAGCAGAGCCATAAATAAAGATACATCTTTTGTTTCAAATAAAGAACAGTTAAAAAAGCTCATTGAGGAAGATATGAAAAAACATCCAGAAAGAAAATTGTCTGATAGTAGTTCATTTGTAAACTCTTCATTTACAAATTATACAGGAACATCATTTCCCAGTGAAGTTTCACTAACAGTCCCTGATATAAAAAAGTCAAAGTACAAAAGAATCTTAATTTTTTTATGTGCCTTGATTTTGGCTTTATTTTTACTTGCAAAAAATCTTCCTTATGAAGACGGAAAATGTTTTTTTTGTGTTAGGGTTCCAGAACACGGAAATATTGTTAATAAGAAGTTGGTCTGTGATAAAGGTTATGTTGTTAAATGGTCGATTTTCGGTATTTATTGTGCAAAAGACAATTATAAAAAAAGATTATTTTTGGAAATTTTAAATTTACTAGCTTTTAGAAAAGGAGATTACATTTACGGAAGAGTTAAAAATCCTTCAATTAATATTAAAGATCTTACAGAAAATGAATCAATAATTAGAGAAATAAAAAATCACCCTTTACTGATATGTGAGGGAGACCAGGTCTCATCTAAAAATTACAAAGTCTCTGTACGAACATTCTTACATTTCTATGCTAAAAGAACTATTTCAATCTGTTTACCAATCACTTTATGTTTGTGTTTAATTAAATATCTTTTATATAAACGAAGAAAAAGACGGGAGGTAGAACTATTATCTAAGAAAGTTACAAAAGATGTTTTAAATGTACTTTTAAGGCAATTAATTATTTCAACAAGTAATACAAGATTTCCTGAATATGTTTTTATAGACCAGCTAAAGGATGTATTTGGTGAAGATTCTGCAGTTTGGCAAAATGTTATAAAAAATGTATCAAAAAATGCAAATGTATCAACATTAAAAATGAAAGATAAAGATGCATGGCAATGGATTGGTCCGATTGTAAGAAGAAAAGAAAGCATTGAAGCCATGAAATTGTAGTTAAATAAATATATTTAAAATTTTTGTATTTTTAGATATCTTTACAGATTTATTTGAATTTAATTTTATTTATGTGTAGTTTTGTATTAGATTGGACATTTTGTCACTTTACAAAAAGTGTTAAAAGAATAGTGTAACGGTTTGGATGTATTGTTATACACAAGTATAATAAATTTAAAATATTTATAAATTACAAAAAAAACTTATATTAAAAAATAAAAAAAATTTATTAATTTAAAAGTAACCAGTTAAATTAATATTTAAAGATAAATAATATTTTTTTTTTATTTTCAGTACTATGCGCAATATTAAAAATTTTAATTTAATATCATTTTATAATTTACTCATATATTCAAGTCTTTTTTAAAATTTAATAATAATTAAAATATACTTAATATTCTTTATTGTATTTTTTTCTGTAAGCCTGTGCACAAGTCTCCGGATTATCTTTTTCAGATTTCATACCATTCTTCAAGGGAGCAAATTCTTTCCACCTTGGTACACTAAATATCTTATTTTTATCGGTAAATGCAAAACAATCAAAGATAAACAATTCGCTTTTAAGACATTTAGTCTCATTTGGTCTATCTATAGCTTTTCTAATGTCATTCGGTATATTTTTGCATGCCTTATGTATGGGTAGATCTTTTAACCCCATCATTTTAACAAACTCTGTTTTAAATAAATGATTACAAATGTTCCCCTCACATGCTTCTTCTTGATCTTTGTCTATTTCAGAATATTCTTTTATTTCTAACTTACCACTATTTTTAATAAATATTCCCACATTTTCATCAGGCAATTTAGTAACGGATTTACTTAAACAATCCACCTTACTTTTTATAAAAGCCCCTACAAATTCTGGGTTTAATATTTCAGCTAGAACGTTGTCAACTGAAATGACGTTTATAGCATATAAATCACTTAAATCAAATTTACTTATTGATTTAAAAAAATCACCATTGCCATTTGGTGCTGTTAAAACCTTGTGATCTTCTATTTTAATAACACTGCCATCTTTATATGTACAGGGGAGACTATTTTGTTTAAAAAATACTACATCTAAATTAAAGTTATTATTTGATTTAAAATAAGATACAACATCTTCATCTGTATGATCAGAAGTCATTATGAACAGTCTGACGTTCTGTGAGTATTTCAATTTTTTAATTTTATCAATGTGGTGTTCAAATAGACTTTTATCACAAATTTTAAAAAGACCTTTAGGACCACTACAGCCAAGTCTTGTACCTTGTCCCCCACTAAGTATTACTACACCAAATTTATTTTGTGAAAGTGCTGTATTTCCTACTTTATAGTATTCTGTTCCTAGATCAGTTAATTTACCAGTATCATCGTATATGTTAATCAAACATGTACTGTTACTATTTATTATTGCCATCTGTAATGGGACTATATTAAATTTATAAAATGTTAAACCAATAGAATAAAAAAAGGGGAACATTAAGGGGCTAGCTAATAATCTAATTACACTTTAAAGAAGTGAATACCCCCAAAACACGTTTTTTATGATTTTTTAACTTTAATCTTCGTACACTAGAAAAAAGATTTTTTAATTTACAAGAAAAAGCTTCTTATTATTTATTAAAAAAAATTCGTAAATTTAAATATGAATCTTATAAAATTAGTCCAATTACAATCTTTTAAATTTGATTTAATTAACAGTAAAGTAAAAATTTCCAATGATTTATATAAAAAACATTTTTTAGAACATTCGTTACAGATAAAAGCATTAGTTATTAACGTTAAAGTTAATTTTTATTTTCTTTAGTTCTTATTTATTTTAAAATGATTTAAAATAAGATATATAATTTTAGTATTGAATAAATTATGCCTTACAATATGTTTCGCAAAAGGCACCTATAAATTTGTGTATAAAAAATATTGTTATTTTATATAAAAATTGTAAACACTTTTTAGTTAAGAAAAAAAGTTAATAAGTTTTTATCTTATTTTGCTTAATCGATTATTTCCATAAATTTTTAATGCACATTTTAAAACAAAAATATTTTTTACCCTCAAAATGAAAATTTCTTTAGAAACATTTAGAGAAAAAAATATTTCTGAACTTGAGGAAGAAATCATTAACTTAAAAAATGAACTTTTACAACTTAGACAGAAAAAAGTAAGTTCTACTGTAGAACCAGATGAAATTAAAATTGCGAGAAAAAATATAGCCCGTGCATTGCGCGTTCGACATGAAAAACTCTTAGAAGAAACATGTAAGAAATATGAAAATTTGCCTATGCATAAAATACCTAAAGAACTTAGACCGAAGAAAACTAGGGCTGAAAGAAGAAAGCTAACAAAAAAGCAAGCATCTAGAAAAATGCCTAAGGTATGGAAAAGGGAATTAAAAAATCCAAAAATATTTTTTGCTTATTCTGAATAAATTATTTTAAACTACTTTTTATTTACATTTTTATATTTACATTTGTAACTGAACATTATTAAAAATAAAATAAAATTTTACCCTTAAAATGCAAAATGAAATTTCTCAGTCTAATATTATAACAGGTGGGCAATCGTGGTCAGGACTTAGTGCAGTAGAAAAAAATACAAAATCTATTTTGTCAGTTTATAATTCTATAAAAAGCAGTTTTGGACCGATGGGTTTAGATAAAATGCTTGTAAATGCTGCTGGTGACGTTAATATTACCAATGATGGTGCGACAATATTACAAAATATGGTTATAGAAGATCCTGCAGCAAAAATATTGGTTGACTTGGCTAATACTCAGGATAAAGAAGTGGGGGATGGTACGACTGGTGTTGTTCTTTTGGCCTGTAGTCTGATTGAAAAGGGTTATAAAATGATTCAAAGTGGAATGCATCCTTCTGTAGTTGTTAATGGGTACAGATTAGCTTACAGAGAAGGAATACAACATGTTAAGAAATTGTTAACGAAAGACATTAAATTGGTTGATGACGATTTACTTCGTAAAATAATAACTACGACAATATCAAGTAAATTGCTTAAAGAAGAAAATGATTTATTTTGCGATATTATCATTAAAGCAATAAGATCTATATCATATACTGAGATAGGAGGTAAACATCAGTATAATATTAAAGATATTAATATTCTTAAGCATCCTGGCGGTTCTATGAAAGATAGTTTTTTTAGAGATGGATATGGTATGAATTGTTATATTGCATCACCTGATATGAAAAAGCAAATTCAAAATGTAAAAATATTGTGTCTTGACATGTCATTACAGAAATACAAATTGCCAATAACAGCATCTGTAACAGTTAACGATCCTAATGAAATGGAAACAATAAGAATGAAAGAAATTGAAATTGCTAAATCTTTAATTAAACTTATTGTTAAAACAGGTGCCACTTTAGTTTTAACAACTAAAGGAATTGATGATCTTTGCACTAAGTTACTTTCAGAAGCGGGTATTGTAGCTATTAAAAGGTGTAAAAAAGAAGATTTAGAAATTATTGCTAAATATTCTGGCACTGAACTTTACTATAATATATTTGAAAATGAATCCTATAAATTGGGACAAGGCAGATTATTTAAAATGGAGCCAATAGGAAATGATGAATGCGCTTTTATTTATGGACTTAATAAAAATTTAGGAACTATTATTTTAAGAGGTCCTAACACTCAAATACTTGAGGAAATGCATCGCTCATTAAATGATGCAATGAACATTGTTAAACGAACTTTAGAAAGTAAATGTATTGTAGCAGGAGGTGGTGCAGTAGAAATAGCCTTAAGTAACATTTTAGAAACATTTTCTATGTCTATTAATTCAAGAGAGCATATTCCTATTTTTTTTTATAGTGAGGCTATACTTTCTTTACCAAAAATATTGTGTATGAATGCAGGACTTGATTCAAATGAGTTGATATCAAAAATTATTACACTTCAAAAATCTAAATTTTCTGATTATTTTTCATATGGACTTGATGTTGTAAACAATGAAATAGGTGACAATTTTAAAAAAGGGATTGTAGAACCAATGATGAATAAATTGAAAGCGCTTAGAACTGCTACAGAGGCAGCCATTAGTATTTTAAGAATTAACGAAATAATTGAATTTCCAAATTCAAAAAAATAAAAGATTTTCGTTTAATCATTTTTGTTATTTTAATTTGGTCATTTTAATTAAACATTTTAATTTGTTCATTTTTAACTAGTATTAGTGATTTATCAAATAAAAGGAGTAAAAAGTATTTAAAAAAATTTTTGAGTATCCTACAATGAATAGTAATTCTGATATGAATAAAAAAGCAAGTCAAGAAAAAGAGAATATAAAAGAAAAAGGCCAAGAGGTTGCTGGTAAAGCACAAGAAAAAGGTCATCAGGGAATGAGTGCAGCTAAAGGTAAATCTGAAGATGTTAAAAGTGACGCTAAAGACATGTACGACAAAGCAGGCGAAAAAGCAGAAGAAGTTGGTGGGAAAATTAAACATGGAGCCCAAGAGATGGCACACAAAGTTAAAGAAAAAATTCATCAAATGACCAGTTCTCAAGATATCGGCGAAGGAATGAAGTCTACTGCAGAAAAAGGAAAAGAAAAATGCGAAGAATGTGCTAAAAACGGAAAAGATACGGCCAAAGAGGCAGGTCAGCGTTTCCAGGAAGCCGGTAAAAAATAAATTTTTTAAGTTTTCAATAACTCTTTGTGATTTGAATTTTTAATGCTTCTTTATGATTTAACTTTTAATGTTTCTTTATGATTAAACTTTTCAATATCTTTTTTATGGTTTAAGTTTTCGTTACCTCTTTATGATTTGAATTTTTAATGCTTCTTTGTGAGTTAAATTTTCGTTACTTTTTTTATGATTTAACTTTTCAATACCTCTTTATGATTTAAATTTTCAATGTCTTTTTTATGGTTTAACTTTTTGTTACCCTTTTTATGATAAATTATCTTGAAAGATCTCAAATACCTTTTTTAAATTTATTACCAAATTACATTTCCGAGTTAATATCAAGATATACATCCTATATACCAGTTAACATACAAAAGTTCCTACCAAAAGCATTCTATATTTGTAATATTCTTATAGGAAGTGTTATTCTTTACATTCCTTTTGTTTATGTATTTCAAAGAGATTACGAGCCCATACACGAAATGTATCAAAGCTACTAAAAAATAAATTTTTTTACTTCTATTTAAAGACTAAATGCGTTATTTTTTTCAACTGTTTACATCACATTTGCATGCACTTTGTACGTCTCATGTTTTAAAGGCTTTTTAATTCCTTGTAAATAAACATTTACTGGATGTGTGTTTTATGAAAAATAAAATGTCTTTTGAATAGGCTTTATTTTTACATTAAAATTTTTTAAGTGGCAGCATTTAATGCTATAGTATAAAATAATTTTTTTGTTTTAAACATTTATTAATGGAACACAGCTTAGCTTTGTTTACTGTATTATATTAATTTGGTCTTGCATTTAAAATAAGCTAAGATAAATTACAACATAAAATACTCAAGATATATTATCCTCGTTAAACATATTACAATGATAATTATAAAAATTATTTATCAAAGCTTATATAATTTCCACGCTTAATTTATCAACTTAAAATTAAAATTTGGAACGCATGTTTTTAATTCATAATTTAACGATAGCTTAAAAATTTTTAAATTTTGTGGTACATAAAGAAACAAAATGAGTAGATAACTAACTTTTAATCATCCCAGGAACTTCCAAACATATACATTTCATTGTCTGCACAAAGATCAGCATAAGCTTTAAATTCTCGGGAGCCCGGATTAAATAAGCTTAAAAGTTTACCAAATATACTTGGCTCTTCTCCTGGCCCATAAGTAACAAGAGGCCCTGCAAAAGGAGGAGGTGATGGTGTTCTTACTCTTTCCAGTTTTTTCGTATAAATTTTTTCTCTCTCGTCATCTAAATCTTTCTTTTCTTTAATCAATTCATCAGAAATTTTAACCATGCCATTTGTCTCATGTGTATCTACAAAAAATAAATGATCATCGCTAGTAACCGTGTATTCAAATGCTTCTCGCTCTCGATTGCGGCAATCACTAAACGCCAAGTTTATAAAAAATAATGTACATAGAAAATTCATACCCCCGCTTCTAAAAATATTATTTATAATTAATTCTATTAAATCATAATTTAATTAATTTTTAACGGATAAAAGTACTAAATTTAAAATTGTTTAAATGAAACTAATTGTATAAAATCATGTTTTTTGTAAAAAATAAAAATATTTGAAGTAATTTTTTATCATCAATTTAATTTTGTTTGAGATTTGACGTGTTTTCAGTGAATCATGTTATTTACACTTTTGACACTTGGGCGTGAAATATGTCTGTTACATTTAAAAGAGTAATTTAATTTTTTAGATTTTTGATCAAAGGTCAATTAATATGTCAATAAATAAGTTGTGTTTATTAAAAAGTAACATAAAATAGAAAATTTCTTAATTTTAATTATTAAATGTGTTAAAATGTATTTATAAAATTCCAATTTAACAATAACATGTTATAAATATCAAAACCCCCTTTATCTTTTATAAGTCAGAGATTAGTAATTTATAATTATTATTTACAATGTTTTATATTGATTAATGTTTATCTTTTCAATTTATTTAATAAGCGATTATTCAAACATTTTAAAATAAATAACCCCATTTTGTGTTAAATTCTAGAAACTGTATTAGACAAAGTTTAAGTTATTTAAAGTTTTATTGTTGCTTTTAAGAGATTTATTTCTATAGAAAATAATAAATTATCTTTTCTCAATAAATACATTTTGATTTGTAAAAGCACATTACTTCACAACATAGTTATATTTTTACAACAAACTTTCAATTGTTAACTTTACATCAAATGATACTGTTATAAAATATTTGTAAGTAATTTAGTTTGTAAATGTTCCTTTTATTATTTTTCTCTTGTTTTATATTTTTAAATCTATTTTATTTTTAACGAGAAACAAAAATGTTTAATTTTAAAAAGTTCGCTGATAATATTTAAAATCCTTTAATTTACAATTAATAATGATTTTGTCATGCTAATGGTAAATGATATAATATTTTTTTTTTATTGAAATCTCTTAAATTTTTTTTTAAATAATTAGTCCATTAACAACAATTTAAATGTTAGTACTTGTACAAGAAAACATATATTACTGAATAATACACTAACTAGCCTTTAACAATAAAATTTTACGCTAAGTTTCACGATCATTTTAAGCCGAAATATAAAAACAACAGAATAAAAAAATTTTACAATACAACTAATTTATTACTTATACTCAGTTTTCTGAGTCTGATAAAGCTTTTTATTCCCATCCTTATCGATCTTAAAATGCTTCTCTTCAATTGTCAACTTCATCACTTTCGTAGGCACAAAATTAATCGGTTTATCAGAAGTAAACTTATAAACATAGGGAGGACCTTCTTTAGTACTACTCTTGCTTGATGAAGAAGCACCACTCTTGCTTGACGAAGGACCATCATTCTTGTTCGAGGCAAATACGGATACACACAATAACACCAGAAGTTTAGAATTCATGGGATTAAAAGCGATTTTGTATTTATATTAATTAATTTATTCGCATAAATTAATTATTGACACGGACGAAATTAAAAACATCACAGCGAGGTTAAAAACTTAAAAAAACGTTGTTGTGTTATCTTAATTATAAATTAACTTATCAAACTGTGATAAAGTTAACTTTGGCCGATTTTTATTATAATGTTTTAAGATGTATACCTAAATGGTTAAAGTTTGTAATTTAAGTGTTAAATTAAATTTTTAAATTAATTTCGATTTAAAAGTGTCAAATCTTTAATTTTGTATAAATAGCAAATTTTACATCACCAAAATAATTTTTAATAAACATTTTAATTTTCAAAATTTAAAATACGTGGTAGTAATATAATTAAAATTAAATGATTTACGTTTAAGAAGTATTCTACTTTTATATACTAAACCACTTGTGCAAGTAGAAGTTAAGCTGATTTACCAAATTTATATTTTAAAAAATGATTAACAAATGTGATATTAATTTTAAAAATTTCTTAAATTTTCTATAACGTAAGGAAATACAAAACATTTTTTTTAAAATTTTAATCATACTGTTAAGTTATTAATTACGATAAATTTTATTAAAAATATTTTTAAAAATATCAAATTAAATGCCGTTGATCTTGAAACTTTCTTTAATATGCTATCAAGTTATTGGTAAACCTTAAATTCCTTGAATAGCCTAGAGCATTGCTAGGCCACTTTAAATTAATTATTTCATTTTTTTAATATTCTTAAAATTATTAATTTACGTGATAGTAGCTTTAAAATTTCTTGATCTTTTTTTTAATTAAAAAAATACTTTTGAACATAAGAAAATGTTTTACTAAAAATTAATAGTTAATAAGTTTTTTATTATACTTGTTGTGGTTATGACTATGACTGGTCATAAACAAATCACAGGTTTTAATATTTCATACATATTAACGTTAATAAGATTTTATAATTTCAAGCATAGCTTAAAACGTCTATTTAAGAAAATAATTGTCAATAAATAAGCATTAATCTACCAATTTGTTAGAAACTTTCTAACAATATTAATGTATTGTATTCTCATTGTCTTATAATTTTGTGTTAGAATAGTACACTTGTTTTTTTGCATTTTACAGCTATGTATGTGTCGGAAGATGACAATGATTAAAAATAAAAATATTTTTGTAAAACAAAATTTAATACTTACACTAAATGACAAAAAAAAAATAAAATTTGCTTTTTTTTTGTAGTTTTAATTATAATTTTTTGTTTTGATTATTTTTTTAATTTAATTTAAAATCTTCCCTTAATCTAAAAAATATAATGAAATGGTCAAGTATAGGATTTTGTATATTTTTAAAGATACAAATGATATCTTCAAGCTATAGCAATGAACAATCCTTAAGTACATATTTTGATTATCAAAAATTTTTGACTAGCGAATATTTACATATTAATATGCCATACTGTAAAGATTGTTTGACGAAGTATAATCGTGCGAATAAGACAGAGAGAGAGATGTTACGATGTGATTGTAAAATTCCTTATCCAGCACACAAATTTGTTTACAGTCCTGCACACCCTTCAGTTTATAAACCCATACTAAATGATGGAAACAGTCCACCTTTAAATTTGACAATTACACGTAATACAATACTCCCTATATTCATTAGTAATAAAGTTGTACTAGGAACATTGGTATACCACTTTAATATTCTCGTTACTAACACAAAGATAAAGTTTGACAATCTCAAAAGAAAATAAATAAATATTCAAAAATTACATCTTTCAAAAGAATTTAGGATTTTTGCATCGGAAAATGTGCGGTTAGAATACAGAAAAAATAAACAAAAAGTTTATAACTGGACACTATTTACGAAACGGATGTACAATCGTTCACTTCCTCAATTACTTTTTTACTTAGATATAATACCCATTCCTAAAGATATAAATGTATTATTAATAAGATCTGTAAATCTTTTAGGAGAAATCATGCGGTACTTTTACATCGTAGGAAAAGATTTTGAGCGAATAGATATTAATCCGCGAAAATGTATTTTAAAAAATAATTTTAAGATAAATACAATAAAAATATTAAACGAAGAAATTCATATTTTAGTTATTTTACAGGCAATTAAACTTATAATTACTTTCTGCTGTGATATAAATGAAAATATGAATAATCATTTTATTCGTACGCATGATAGGATTTTAAAAGATGTACAGCAGAATTTAAGAAAATCTGATAGTTATATAAAGTATTTACAGGAGAACAACAAGTTCCTAGAAAGGATAATACCACAACAAAATCGTTGTTTGATTTTAAAATACTTATATTGAATTTTGTTATATTAAAAAACATTTTTTTAATAAGTTTTGCTTTTAAATTAAACATTGTATAACTTTTGTTTTTAAAATAAACATTGTATAATTTCTGTTTTTAAATAAACATTGTATATTTTTATTTATCTCTTTAAAACTCTATCATGTTTATCTTATAAGATCAATAAAGAATAAAATCTAACGTATGTACAGTTTAGGATGCGAAAGGTGATGCTAAATAGCTTGAATTAAAAAATGAGTTACTTTTGTATAAATAACAAAGAAACGATAATTGAATTGTAGAAAGATTACAAGCTAATATTGATCACTAATAAAGGCGGACAAAATAAGGAATTATTTTTCTAAAGTTTATTTATACATTATTTTATTACAAAAAAGTAATTGTATAATTTAATAAACTATAATTAAGTGTAATAAATAAAAAAAGTCTTTAATACATTTAATACGATAAGTTTTATCTACGACATTTACAATTTAAAACATATCTGTACTAAGTTGAATGATTGATAAATGTATCTTTTAAAAAATAAAGAAATACCAAATATCAACAATAAAAACATTCTGTTTTTTTCAAATATTAACCCTTTATGGGAAACATCATTTCATACTTTTTCTATAAAAAGAGTGTAATACAATCACCATACAGTATTCTAAAAGTAACACCGTATCATTCACTTGGAGAAATAAAGTTAAGTTATCTTAATTTAATGAAAAAAAATCAGAAGCCAGAATACAACACGGCATACGCACTTATAAAGGAAAGCCCACCCCCTTTAAATCTGTATTCTAATTTATCTGACGATGTTATTGAAAAAATTAATCAGTTTGCTAAAACAGATATACCACCAATAAATAGTTCTGAGTACAAACAAGCTTATAGAATGCTCAGTAGACTAAACATATCAAACTTTAGGACTGATAATGACAGGATACACTTCTACTTCCATTTAAGTAGACTTATCAACAAGTCTAAAAAGGAAGATGAGAGACTCATATTAAAAAAACGGCATACTGCAAAAAATAAAACAGTCAGTAAAGTTTTACCAGTATATGGACCATTTCTTATATGTGAAGAATGCAACAAAAAGTTTAAGGGAATTAATACATTTAAAGATCATCTTAAAAGTAAAAAGCACAAGGAAAATACAAATTTTAAAGAAGAAATTGTTATAGAGAAGAAAAAACAACCAGTTAAGAATACTGCGAAAGATAAAGTTGTTGAAGTTGAAGAAAGTATTGTACAAAATAAAGTATCAAATCACAAATTGGATCATTTAGTTTTTAGAACATGTAGTTTTTGTAAGGAGGTTTTCGATACACGTGTATTACTACTTTATCATTTAAGAAGTAATCATAAAAAAGGATCTTCTTGACAATTAAAAGCTTAAGCATCTAATAAACATGTTATATAATTTAAACATTCTTGTAAGTTATTAAAATTTTTTAATAAAAATACAAACACGCTAAAGTTTATCTATTTAAAATTTGTAATATATAAAATCAATAGGGTTCGTTTGTTTTTTTACATTAAGTCTAAAAAGTAAGCTAAATTCATAGATTAATTAGAGCTTCTAATTCTTTAAAAATAAGAACAAAAAAATTGAAATATTTAAACTTTGTAAATACAGTACATAAAATAATATAAACTAAATTTATAAAAATGTAAATATAATATAATTTTTATAATGTTTTTTAAAAATAAACAAAGTTAATTTAATTTTTACTTTTTATTTATTTTTTTATTAATAAATTATTTTAGTTACAATTTCAGTAGTGTAAAGCCCAAAGTTATATTAATTGACGTTATCATAGCAAATGTTATAAATATTTGCTTGTAAAGTTGTCTTGTAAGTTTTATTAAAAATTTTTTAAAAGATGTAGAGAAAAGATAACATTTTTAGTTCGTCTCGAGAAGTGCAATAACTATGGAAACATTTGCAAGTCTATTCAAGACCTATAGTAAAAAATTACGCCTAAAAAACTTACTTGAAGGGGGAAACAAACCAATGAAGCCTTAGCATTTCGCGTGGAATTAAGAGTGTCAATTACAGTCATTAAATTCATATCGAACATATCGATTACAAGAACCAATGAAACCCTTGGCCTAGTAACACATTACCAGGTGTTGGCCCTGTAATACAAATAATATTAAGTAAAGAAGAGTTGCTAAGAAAAAAAAAACATGAAATATTAAAAACATTGTATAAGAATTAGGTGAAAGTTTGAAATAGTAATATAATGATGTAATATGATTTAAAAAATACCAGAATGCTACTCTAAACCCCTAAAGACCAGAATTTTAAAAAAAATTAATCAATAAACAATTAAATTATATATTATTAAATTATATTATTTCTTCAAAGTTTGTGAGTTTTATAAATAAATAATTAGTTGATTTGATTTTCCAAAAGTATGCTTTTTGCATCTTATTTAGATAAATTATTGTGACGACTTGCTACTGTATTAGGACAAGAACAATATCATACGATTCTTTTGTTTTGCCATACATTCTTTAGAACTTTTAATATCTTGTTTAATCTTAAGCCATCAATCATATTTTGTTCTAACATTTCTATTTTAACAGATAAAATGGTATGCTTAAATTCAAAAGATCTATAGACATTAATGCACTAAACTAATAACCCTAAAATGTTACAAAAATTTTTTCCCTTTAAATTTCCTTTAACTTCTTTTAATAGAATTATGGATAAATCTGAAGCGTTAAAGATATTAGATATGAGAAAAGGGGAAACTATTGATAAAAAATACAAAATTCTTATAAAAATAAATCATCCAGATAAAAAAGGCTCTTCTTATCTTACTAGTAAAATAAACGAAGCATATAAAATGTTAAAAGAGATATAATTAAAAGTATTTTCTCGTAATTTAAAATATTTTTGTTAAAAATGATATGTATAAGACGCATCTAACAAGAAAAAAGTGTTTATTCAATTTTTTTGTTTATTTAAATGTAATTTGTACTGAAAAATAAAAAATCAGTTTTTTTCTGTTCTATTACAATTTTGATAATTGTTTGTGTACTTCTAAAACATGTATATAACTATAGAATCTAAGCGTTTACAACAAATGTTTTTTAATACATCAAAAAAAAATAAATTTTCTTTAATAACAATAAAAATTATGGTTAAAATTGTAAAATATAACCATAACATATGTGTATGCACACTATATTGACTTTAAGTTTATGGATTTAAACATTAAAGCAAAAGTCTGCCACTGAGCTGGGATACTTTAAACCACCACCATTTTTGCTTTCTGTTTAAAATTTTTTAACCCCTAAAAACAAAATTTTAATAAAGGAGGAGAAATAAAATTTGAAGAAGATATGCATAATATGTGTTTATTTAACAAATTACAATGCAAAATTATTAATTATTTATAAAATTAAACTTTTTTATATTTTAAACTTATATTTAGTAATTTTTAAAAACCTCGAAATTTTTACTTCTTTTAAAGGAAGAAAAATTTAAAAAATGGCATGTATGTTTTTGTATCGATATTCTATTGGTATGTTTATATAACACCAGTCCAAGTCTCTTCTTAGTTTTAGTGTGAACATTTTAACTTTTGAGTAAAATTAATACTATGGTTCACCGTCCGGTGTAAATAGCCTTTTTTCTAAATTACACTAACCTCTCCAGCAATTTATAAATAATACTTCTTAAAATTACATATCGTTTAATTAAATCATTAAAGTGCTAGCCTTTAAATTTTTAATTAAAGTAAAACAATTCGTCTTTCCTGAGAACGCTCTGCCATGTCTAATACATAAACGCCTTCTACCTTATGACCACATTGTTTTTTGCACTTGCCAAACTTTAATTAATCTATTTCAACGATCATTCCAGGATCACATATCTTAACATTCCTTTCAAATAATTCACCAGTTTCTTTTAAAATACGTCCAATACTCTTTTTTCTTACCGTAAAAACCCAATAAGTTTACAGCTTGAATTTTTAATAAACAAAAAAATTAATTGCGCTATTTCCAACTATAGCCTCCTTGCATTGAAAAAAGATTTATTATTAACTGAGGTGAATTCTTTACAACAACCTCTTCTAGCACATCTTAACACATTGTATAAAATATCTCTTAAAGATAAATGTCTTGTTTTACAAATCAAGAATAATACGACTTAGATTTATTAAACAGCTTATTAGGTTTCATCCTTGATCCCCTTTTAGCAGCAATTCTTTTATATAGTTAATAAATGATTAAACAAACAAATGAGTAAAAAAAATGAAAGACGAAAAATACTAAAACGTATCAACAGAGAAAGGTAAAAAATTATTTAAATGGTTTGTTTGGACAAACACACTGTAATGATTAACAAACAATCTACATGATGCGGCTAGTTTATTCCAATATCCTATTTCTTATATATTTGACCTCTCTTTTTGTTGAAATTTTTTTTCTAGAAAATTCGGATCAGAACGTATAGACAATCCGGCAGGGCGTCTATACGAATTTGCAGTTTTTTATATTTTTTTCCCAATGGAAGAGCAGGATCACCTGAAAGAAATTTTTAAATGTGATTATTATGAGTTTATTTAGATAGGATATTTTACATAACTTTTAATTTTGATTGTATTCTAAATATTTTTTGGAATTAATTAAGTCTAAATTAATATGTGGACAAGTTTGAATGGCAATGTTTAAACTACAGGTGCAGAAAATATTTAGCTGTGCTTTGTATACAATATAGCACACCATTATCTACGATTAGAACGAGTCTTTAAATTATTTTACGTTTCTTCTACTATTTATCTATCAACTTGCAGAGATATAAAATAATACAGTTAACAGGCATTTCAATGACTTTTTATGAAATTTCGAAAGATTATTCATATAAATTCAAAAATTATTTTTTATTTAATCCTATTAAATTAGAAGGGCCTGATATCATAGTTTGGGTTGACAAAACTAAAACTAATTTTAAAATCAAAAATCATGGAGGTAAATCTGTTTCTCCCTGCCAGGTATTTTGCATAATTGTCACAACAACGAGACCAGCATTAGGATTTTGTTGTATTGTATAAAATCGATCTACTCCAATCTTATTAGATATAATATCTGATGTAATAGTACCTGGCAACATTATCTATTTAGATAAATGTGCAGCTTGTGCCTCATTAGGCAGTAACTCAAATTTGAAAACTTACTGTATGCCACAAGTATAATTTCATTATTCCTATGGGTAGAACACATACGTAATATGTCGAATCTTATAATAATCGATTAAGCTTAATACAAAAGGAATGAAAGACCTTATACTAGAGCAAAGAAGGGTCTTCTTTAGAAGTTTGCTTACCCAAAGTTTTTTTAATAAGAGCAAAAAAATAAACAATTTAATGATTTAGTTTAAAAAGAGCGTTAAAATTATAACATAAATAACTGCTACCCCTTCATCACTTTTTCCTAATATTTATCTACGCTTAAATGTATATTGGGTTGGCCACTCATCAATGTTGTCTCTATTAACACAATTCTCAACCCTCATCGTTACTTTCGTGAAGCCCCCAAATCATTCTATATTATTGGTATGGGTGCCATCAATAGCTCCAAACCCAACAGAATGATTAACAATATTGTGTCTTAAATTTAAATTTATTGATACAGCCAAATATGAGGGATGGCCATCAGTAAATAATACGCTATCATTTGTAAAACGAAGACAATGAATTTGTTAGTGATACATTATTCTATCTAAAACACGAATTATAAAAAAGTTGGGCTTGTTTGTCCTGTCTAGTCCTCCTACAATCCATATTGTATCTCAAGTGTCGCCAGTACTGGTAGGATTATTTATAATTTTCTCGATGAGATAGTACATCTTCATCTACCTCAACTATTATACCCGCACCATCAAACAAAACAGGATTTACTTCAAGATATTCTTTGTAACATACAAAAAGCAAAGACTTATACTTTGCAATCGTTCATCAGAGAGACAAATAAGGTCGTAATTGAAAATAATTCATGTCTAAAATTAGGCAATAAACTAAGTGTACAACTTTACATAATGGAATATTGGCCTGAAATAGCAAATGTCTTTTTGACAACCTTTTCTAGAACATCTATATGCCAAAAGGTTAGTTGTACTACTTACAGGCAGTAACTTGCACAATGCGTTGCAGTTAATACAAGCAATTTTTTGAGAAATTATGTTTCTTTAAAGAAGAAAATTTCGTAATTCAGCAATGTCTGTAAATATTTTATTGTCAATTTCTATCCTCATAAAATAGAAAAAAAACAAAATTTCTACAAACTTAATTAATCCCATATAGTTCTGCTGAAAATAAAAAACTGTCTTAGAGTTTTTATTTGAACTAATGTTTATTTGATATATAATAACTGATAGGCAGAATTTATAGGATGAAAAGTAGATTAGGTAGTTAGATTGAGAGGTAGATTTGGTAGGTAGATTATGATATATGATGATGATGATGATGCATGACGACGACAATGATATATATATGATGATGGTGATGATATTATATATATATGATATGATTGGGTTAGGTAGATTATGAAAATAAAAAAAGGTTTGCAAATTGGTTGTTTATATTCAAAATATTATGTCGATGTATATAAAAATTTGTGAGTTTGCTTGCTTACCAATCATTTAGGTTGTTATTTTTTAGTTCAAAATAATTTTTGACTCCTATTTTTTCATCAAAAAAAGGTAGGAAAACTTCTTAAAAAAAACCCGCAAATAAAATTATATATATAAGAGGTTATGTTCAGAGAGAGACCTTTACTAGATCGCTTTTACTCTTATGTTAGGTATTGTTATAAAATTTAACCCCAATTATGAAAGATTTTTACATAAGACAGAAAAATTTTAATCAATTAATACTTTATTAAATATATTAATTAAGTTTTTCACATTCATACTTTTTATCAATACCATCCATAATGTCTTTTAAAGGAGAAATTAAGTAATCAATATCTGTAGATAAATGAGTAGTTAATTTAAAAAACAATAGAAAATTACGATTTATCTTAGTTAAAAAATTCCAAGATCGTTCTATTCTTTCAATTAGCATTTTTTTTTATCACAAAAATACATTCTAGCTGTACAGTTTGTGAAATATTTGTTAATCTTTTTACAAAACTTTTACATTCATAATAAACAACGCTAATTTGTTTATCACAAGTATACTTATTGAATTTTAAAGATAAGACATAATTTATCACTTCTTTAATAAACATATTGCATTCCATTATGAATTTTATTATAGATTCATCTGAAGATTCTTTAAAAAAAGAATCTTCTTCTATATTTTTAATTTGATACTTAAAGCTATTGTTTAAATTTACTTTTTTATAATAATACGAGTTTTTAAGCTTTGATAATTTAGCTATTAATTTTTTGTCTATATTTCCATAAAAGGAACCTTTTTTTGAAATAGAAATTTTCTCATTTTTGGCTTTGTCAAATGCAGATTTATAAAAACTTAGAGCCCCTTTGCAAAAATTCATAAATAAATCTAAATTTGTCAACTGCTGGTTATTAAATTGTACTGTTTCATTCTGTAATATAGAATTCAAATTTAAGCCTTTTTTAGTAATTAGGTATTTATCAAATTCTTCAACATAAACATTATAAAGTTTGTTCAGTGAGTCTTTTTTATCTTTATATTTTATAATACTTTTACATTTTATATTATCATTCTGTTTTTTACTTTGGTCATTTATCGTCCTATAAGAGTTTAATACTTCATCATATTGTTTTTGAGGTTCAAAACGGTTAGAGGTACTACAATAGTGTATATTTGAACTTATTTAAAAGTTACTTGATGTCTTGCATTCTCAGAAGTTATGCACTTACTATTATTGCCTAATTTAAGCTTTTTACGAACCGGATTTTCAAGAGTTTCATTATGCTTATCTTTAAAAAGCTGAAAATTTGTTGCATCAAAAATGGGGCTATCCAAGACAGTGATTTGTGTATCTTTAGATTGTAATTCTTTTTTTAAATCTACAGAATTTTTAATAATATTTCTTAGCTTAATGTTTTTTCGTTTCAAAAATTTCCTTGTGTTACTATTGCCTTTTAAAGTTTGATCACATTTATTTTTTCTTTTTGCATTATAAAAATTATTTAAATTACTTACACCAGATTCTGTAGTACTAATCGATTCATTATTTGTTGAGTTATACATTCACCAAAAAGTAAAAGAGCTTTAACATTTTATGGGATAATATTTTAAAATTTATTTTTATTAATATTTCTCAAAAAAGTTTATTATTAAATGATGAAAATTTTTAAACAATTTTTTTAAAATATAATTAAATAAACGCTTATAATTTTTAAAAACAATCTTTGTGTCATGGTGTAATTTAGTATTAAATTTATCAGTAAAAATGTATTTGTTTACTTAATTTTACATCTTTAAGTAAACTTTTATGATTTTGACATGACAAATATTTGTTATATTTTTCTAAAAATTTTAATTAAAAATTTAAGATGGCATGGATTTTTAGAAAAATAAACAAAATTTAAAAATAAAGCAAATTAAAATAATTGTAATTAAACAAGCATTAATTAAAAATCCTTGCAGAAGTTAATCTTTAAAATATTCATGTCATCTTAAAATATTTCGCAAACAAGGTACAAAGGTAACTAACTAGATCAAATATAGTTTTTTAATTTTTTTCTTTATTGTTTCTTATTTCGTCTATTTAAATTTGTTCGTTACATATTTTTGTGTTTAAATTAAAAAAAGTAAAATTTCAACGATATGACCACTACTCATTGTAAAATTTACGTTGTAAATAAGAGTCCTTTCTCTAAACACTTTTTTAAATATTACATAGCATTACAATGAAGCAATTAGTTGTTGCTCGATATTTAATGCATTACAAAAAATTATTAAAGAAGAATTAAAATAAAATTTGTATTTTTGCAAAATTGAAAATTATTAAAGAGAAAATTTATGCATTTGAAAAACTTATAATTTTATTCTGAAGAACAAGAAAATTTACACTTAAACAATTTTAGCGACTTTTAAAAAATATGTTGATATTTTAACAGTAAAGCTTTTATTAATCTATATCAAAAAGAATTTTTTATTTGTTTAACAGGCAAAACGTCGTTTACAGGCAATCTAGGTCTTAAAGAAACATTATTGGAGAAAAATACTAAAAAATGATGAATTTAAATAATACTTGATAAAAGTCAAATTGAAGATCAATTTAATGTTTATGAAACATTTATTCCTAATTGTAAATTAATTTTTGTTTTTGGTGGACTTACAAATTCGTTTATGAATATTATTACAATGTTGAAGTCGGTAAATCTAAGATTGAGAAAGATGCAGCTTAAATCATTAATAGAATATATAATTAAGTACCGTTCACTTCGTTTACATTGATCAACCACAAGAGTATAAAATTTTGCAGAGTAAAAAGTATTTTTCAGCTAATGAAATTTGAAAGACAGAGAGGTTTTTGGTATAGGTTCAAAAACTACAGGACAACTCGAAAAAGTTATTAACAAATATGAAAGAATATTTGGAATGGGTTTCTCGGAATTTTCGAAAAATCTGATTTCGGTTCAGGAAATATGGCACTAGTAAAGATATTAATCAAGAAATAAAAAGTTGTAGTTGGCGGAGATAGAATGTCTGCTTGTGTTTGCAGATTTGGAAATGTAAATTATTTCTTCCACACATCTACAGGAAACGAAAGTGTTAAAATTATTAGAAAACAAAAAATTCACTGATATTAATATTTTCTAGAAATTATTCTACTAATTTTTTTTAAAAAGTTTATTATTGTAGTTTTTATAATTATAATATACAATATATGATTTTTTCTAATATTTGTAATATAACTCATAAAACTAATAAGATTTGCCGAATTCTAATGCATTCGTCCCGCCATTATAAACTACACCAGTATACTTTTACTAAGTGCTATTTGCCATGTACTACTACAGATATACTCTAATTTTAAAATGCTTTTATTGTAATTTTTAATAGTTTAAATATTTTCATAATTTATATTTTATTGAGTTCTTTTTTTTATCCCTTCCCTTTCATAATTTTATTACACTAAATTTAAATTAGTTTATAACAAATTAAAAAAAATGTATTTAATGAATAAATGTGGTGACAAAGATCATATCATCTTCGATGGGTATTTCTATTTCAACTGGCTGTATTATTTTATATTTTGTTTCATCTTATTAACTAGCTCTTATCGTACTGTTGGCTATATTTGGGTTGACGTTGTCACAGGATATCTCCAACAGATGCTAAATAATTACCCAAGATAATAAGGAAGGGGAAGTCATTGGTGTAGGACATAATTGAAGTCTCACTGACATATCCAAAGTTGAATACGTCTCTTAAATATTTTTTACATAATGTTTTTATTTACATAGTGTGGCATTATTCTCAGGAAGCCGCTCTGAAGATAAGAAATCTTCTAAGATTCACGCACCTTAGCCAAAAAATATGTATGTGCTAAAGTTTTGTTAGTAGTAAGCACTCTATGTGAGGTTGCAAATTTTTTATTAGTCGCACTCTATTCGTTACTGTTGCTCGCTCATAAACCTTTTTTTGTACACGGGAAAATTAAAATAAAATATTAAAAAAAATAATTTCTAGAAAGTTCATTTAAGCAAGAATATTAACATAAAATTACCATAATGTGGTGATTATACTACATTTAGATGTTAAAAGCCTCAATTTCTTTTTATCTTGATCTCCAATGTTCGTCAGTTATGGTTTATTTCACATTTTTGTACATTCTTGAAATAATTTGCATTTATAGTTTTGATTTTCTCTACAGCAAACAAAAACAAATTAAATTAATAAATAATAAACAAAAATTATGTAATATTACAGACTAACTAATGTAGACGTTTTATAAAGCATAGGCGGAAATAGTATTGATTTATACAAAAAATGTGGAGGAAATATTTCAAAAATTAAAAATCCCAATGATAATACATAGAATTACCTTAAAAGTTTAAAAAAATAATTTTATTTTATAAAACTGTAAATTTAATAATTGTTAATTTCAATATAAATCGGTGTTGGTTGTTTAATATAATTTCTTTTACTATTTTATGTGGTACTTTTTAGATCAATGTAGTAGATAACTTGCTTATTGTTAATTTTTAAAGTCAAAAATAGTGTTGTTTTTTAAATCTTTAAATAGCATTGTATTTATAACTTAAGGTATGTACAGTTGGAAAAATGTAACAATAAACACAAGTATTGTAACTTTCCTTTTGTAATTCTTTATCCAAAAAAAAGGTAAAATGAGTAAGAGCTGTAAACTGTTGTATGAAATTATTTTTAAATGTAAAAAATATCTTTTTTAGTGTTTGTTTTGAAAATTTAAATTATTATGAAACAAGCAAAATGTTATTTAGTTCACTGGAAGAAAATGTAGGAAAAGATTTTTATTTTTCATTACCTTACTACCCTAAAGGAAATTGTTTGGTCACAGAAGACTAAAATTTCTCATTTAACATGTTTATTTATTAAACCTTACTTATGTACTTTAATTTCACGTTAAAACATAATTCGTTTTTGAGTCCTGCTTTAAATCACTTTTCTTTGCTTGAGTATTATCGTTGAGTTTTTGACTTTCACCAATGACGCATTTTTTTAAAAATCCGTTATCGCTCAAAATTATCTGAAAAAAAATCTCTTAAATTATAGTTTCGTTCATTTTGAATGCCTAAGAAGAAACAATGGGTTCAATTACGGACATTAGCATAAAAATAATGTTTGCTCAATTACAAGCGCTAGTTTTTGTAAACTTGTAACTCAAATATCAATGCTAAAATTGGTAAATCTAAATTTTGGATGTGGTAATATGATCATGGTCATTGTGTAGAAGATGTAAGAGTTTTAGTAATGAAGTAAAAAATGATGAAAAGAAAGGTAGTTTTTATGTAATTAGATAATCAATAACATTAGTAATCCTTATAGGGAAAAGTTTAAAAAAAAAGTATTATTTATACTTATGAGTGAAGGGGTACAGTAATTTTGCGATTATAATTATAACAATAAAAGCGTTAATCATTTCTTAAATTTGATAATGAAACAGTTGTACACACAAGCACGAGAACAGAACCTAAACTGGAATTAGTAATGTTTTCTTAAATATTAATGCTAAAGAGAAAGTCAGCGCTTTTTAAATTTTTTTTTCTTTAAGAAATTTTTTGACTGGTAAATTCAAAAAAATATCAGAATTACTTTCTACTAAAAAAACGGTTTTATTTGTCAGCAATGACGATCTTAAATAAATTAAATTATTGTTGAATATGGATAAATTTTTTTAAAATTTTGTTGCGCCTTTATTTTGACTTTTGTTTTTAGGTTAAAAAATTTTAAAGGCAAGTAAAAAACACGTATTTAATTTCAATTTTCCTATCTTCTTAAAGTATTGATTATTTTTTTTGATTTTAAAGATTGAGCTGTTAGATATTTTTATTCATAGTAAAAAGATCGAGCATTTTTAAAAATTTAACTTTCAAAGTACCAAGATCACTATAAAAATTATAATTAATTATAATATTCTTTTTTACCTCATACAGAAGGAAAATCAAATCAACTAAAAATATTGTTGATATTAACAATAAGAACTTTTGTAAAAAGATAAATATAGATGTTAAGAAGCAAATTATACTTGTATGAATAGAATTTTAAAATTCCGGCTAAAATGTGATAATGTAAGCTAGTGCTTAAATATAAATTTAAAAAACCTGTTGATATTAGTGCATTAAGCCAATAACCCCAAAACGTTACAAAGATTTTTCACTTTGAGTCTTCTTTGACTTTTATAATAAAATATGAATAAATATGAAGCATTTAGATTCTAGACATGAAAAAGAGGACACTTTTGATAGGAAATACAAAACTTTTACAAAAATAAATCATCCAGGTAAAAAAGCTTTTTTTATCTCATCATTAAAATAAACAAAGCATATTTAATGTTAAAACAAATATAATTATAATGTTTTTTATAATTTTTTGAAATTTTTGTAAAAAAATAAATTTTATTAGTATTTAAAAAATAATATTTAAAAGGCATATGTAACAATAAAAAGATGTTTTATTTTGTTTTTTTCTTTAATTATTTATTTAAACATAATTTGCACTGTAAAAAATAAAACATTGAATTTTTCTGTTCTATTACCGTTTTTGGTAATTTTTTTTGTTTCTTTCTAAAACCTGCTAATAATTGGAAAAATTAAGTTTTTTTAATTAAAACATTTTTAATGAAACAAAAAAATAATAATTTTCTTTTGTAAAAATATTTATGATTTATACAATGTAATAAAATTTATAACATATGTATATCAACATTTTGTAGACACTAAGTTTATAATATTAGTACAGGTTTCTACTATTTGATTTGATAGATCAAAGCTCTTAAGATTTAACATTTCACATGTACTTTAACCCTAAATAAAAATTATACATTAAAATGTATTCCTTTTTTTAAAAAAGATAAAACTTTTTATATTTTAAAAATTTGTTTGTACATTATTATCTTAAAAAAAAATTTTAAACTTTAATGTAAAAAAAATATCAAATTTTCAGAACATGTTTTTAATTTTTCAAATTTAAAAATTATTGATTAATTAAAAATATTTGAGAATTACATATCTAAAATTTTTTATAACTGTTTACTTTTAATAATGTAAAATAAATTTTTACAATCTTTATTTGCAATTTAATAATCTCCTTAATAATTTCTAAAAAACATACATTTACTATTTTAGGAAATTTCTAAAAAATATACATTTACTATTTTTGGAAACTTAAAAAAAAATTATATAAATATGATCAATATACAAATTTATTTAGCAGATACAAATTTTAATAAAAATTTATTTTATTTATAATTTTTTTTTCTAGACCCTTTATAGTTTAATGAGATTTGAATTGTTAGTATTATTTTTTGCTTATTTAAAATCTAGTTCAGACATTTATAAGAAATTACGAGAAATTGTTGAACAGAAAAAAAAGACTAAAGACTATTTTTTACTTGATTTGAAAAAAAATACTACGTCATGAAAACCTATATTACTAATGATAAAATTACTTTTACTAGATGTGTAAAAGGATTATCTGAATCTAAGAATGGTTATTATAAATTTGACAGGATTGAGTATAATACAGCAGATGAAGCAATCTAAAAAATTTGTGACTATTATCTTTCAAGCGGTTTTAGTCAATTACAGGGATTTGAAGTTTTTTGTACGTTAAAATTTTATGTATTAAAGAAAGATATTAAGTTAAATCTTAAGAATTTTTTTTATTATGGAATTGAACCAGATTTTTTTGCAAATATTTATGATAATAACAAACAAAAACAAATAAGAGAGCTTTGTTCATGTTTTTCTCGAAACAGAATGATAGATTTTTATTCTTGCTTTTTATTATCAAAAGATTCTAGTGGTGAAACTATTCATTGCTTTAAAGAAGAAAACAAGATAAAAATTTTTTTTCCTGTAAAATTAAGAAATTTAATATTTTTTTTAAAATTGACGTTAGCAATTTATATATTGTAGAAAAAAAATATACAGATGAATTAATAAAATTACAAAGTGATGTTAGTAAAGATAATGGTAGTGCAAATGTAGGCACTTTAATGAGTAAAATTTTTACATTTTCTGATTTTGTGCCCCATTTAAATCTATTAAAAGATATAAACAATACTGGGAAAAAATTATCTAGTCGATTTTCGTTCAGTAATTGTGAGAAGAATTTTTTTAATGTTGTATTTCCAAAAAAAGTAGTATTTTTTAAAAACTTTGATACATCATTTTATTATTGCTGTGATTATCTCTTAAAGCTCAAGGAAAATGAAAATTATCAGTGTATTTTTGAAGAAACATATCGAGATTGCACCGAGATTTGGGATTTATATACGAAGGCAAAAGATTTTGACTTTGCTAAATACAAAATTATTTTTTATAAATTTAAGAGTGAAAATCTCCTAAATCACCTATTATATAAAATTTGTGAAAGTCCGGGTTCTGGTTCATATCCCATATTGATCCATATATTAGGTTATTATAATATTTTTAATAATGATGAACTTATTTTTCTTACACAAGATACTTATAATAAGGATAAAATGCAAACAAAATTTTTTTTTCAAAGTTTTTTTACTAAAGAGAAACTTTTAAAGATTTATTTTATGATGACACCGGAGAATGAAGAAATTAATAATTTGTTATACACTCTTATTTTCAAAGAAGCTGAGAAGTATTTTAGAAATTATAAAAAGGATGAACTTAGAAATATTGAATTATTTAATGATATACAAGAGTTTTCTAATTTATATTTAGGCCATGATAACATGACTTTAAATAACTTTTATAATATCTTACTTGAAAATTCACAATTTATAACTTTGTCAGGTGAAGAAATAATGACAAAATTATACGAAAGTGTGGCATTACTAACTAATTTAGATGTTAAATACAGTGTAGGACACGGAATTGTTTATTTTGAGAAAAAAAATGCGCAGGAAATGTTTAAAGAATTAACAATTGAAGATTCCAAAAGTTACGTTGAAAGTTTAAATAAATGATTTTTACTTAACAAGATTGTATATTTCACGGAAATTTGGTTTTTGTTGTGTAAATTAAATTTTTTATGCTATTTAATGCAGCATTTTACAATCAACATTTTAGCTAAACTCCTTCCTTATACTTTTAAAATGTTAAAAAACAAAGTTGTCATGTCGTGGTTTTTTATTTTAATCTTTAAATAAAATTATTCTTAAAATTAAGGTGCGTACAGTTGAAAAAAAGCAAAAATAAACGGATACATTTTGACTATTTTTTTAAAAGTTTTTAATTAAAAAAAAAGTCAAAATGGGGAGGGACTGCACAACTTTAGCAAAATTTTATATAAAATAATAAGAAAATGTTAGTATATTGTAAAAAAATATAGAAAAGAATTTTTTAAATTTCTAACAAACCTCTTTGTAGTTTAAAATTAAGTTGGTAAAAAGCTGAGAAATTATAATTTTGGCTATTGCAAATATCAAAGCTAGAATTTTAATCTAAAAAAACATATGTAAAAAACAATATCAAGATTTTTTTGCTGTTAATTTTGAAAAAAAATATTCTTAGCCTGGTGATGACTAGAAAATTCAAAACTGAAATTGTTTAAAGCAGAAAGAGTATATAACAACAAGGATATCTTGGCTGTTACAATCAACGAAGCCCACATTGACAACGCGCTTACAGATACTACTAAAGCCAACGCAACACTTTGCAAATTGGAGCTTTTTGCCAATACTATGACATGTAGCGAGTGTCTAAAACAGTTCCAATTGTCATGTGTAAAGCGTAAAGTGCACTAGATGACTATAATTAGGCTTGCAAAAGGCCGTGTATTCACACACGTTTATTTAAAACATATAGCTTTTTAATTCATTCAAATTGGCGCAAAAACTACTTTCAAAGCCATCTAAAAGTACATTTTTAAACTTCTTTTTAAATATTCATTTAAACTTAATGTATTCTGACAAACAGCCAGTGGAATGGCCTTTTTGGTTGAGGAATATATTATTGAATATATGGCTGCCCAAACAACTAGGATAGGCAGGTTAGATGAGCAAAGAGTGGTAAAAATTGTATAGATTGACAAAAGTCTTTTTTTAAAAAGAAATATAACCGGTGAAGAAATACAAATGGGCAATGATACATCCGAAGTATCGAAAGGGGATCAAAAAGACTCTTTATTTTACCTTTAGAAAACAGAAACGCAATTACTATCGCGCGTGTAATTCTAAAAATGTTTTGCCTAAGACAATTATTGGAACAGATGAATGGCGTTGCTATTATGTTGCACTTAGAACCTTAAATTCCAGTGTGCCAGATTATGTTCATGAAACAATAAACTATTCGATAAACTTTGTTGACCCCTCATGCCCTTCTATACACACGCAATCTACAGTGCGCGTCAAAATCTTAAGACACCTAAAAAAAAAATTTTTTCCCATGCAAAATCAAACAAAATACAATTCTAAAATAACTATTCGTATTTAAACGTTGTAATTAAAATGAGCTAAAAAATACCTTTTATTAAATCTTATTTTATATATGTCTAATCTAGTTTTTAGATTTTTTTATCTTAAGAGGTGTATCAAAATCTTAAGACACTCCCCCAAAAAACACGTTTTATAGAATTGTAAATATTACATTCGTTTTATTTTGTTACAATAAACTACTGCATGATTTTATTTTTCTAATATAAGTTACTATAAAATGTTTAGAATAAATAATTAGTCTTACAATTAAACGGGACGTCTCATTTAACTCAAATTTCGAAGTACAAACACATGCTTAAAATAATGATATCTATTATTTATTGTTTTTTGATTTAAAAAAGTGATTTTAAATTTCTTTAACTTTTCTCATTGACATGGTGGTTTTGAGGTTTTTTTAAAAAATAACTAACTTAAAAAAAAGAAAACTTATTTATTAATTTTATCCCCTCTTTATTTAACAATGTCGATCATATGCTTCTACATTCCATTGACATATTTTAACAAATTTTTGGGTCTAATACTTGACCAGGCTACTAATATCAATGAATGTAAATCTTGAATATTATTAAATTGTTTCCTGTCTCTATAAATTATTTTCGACATTCTGCCCATTAATTTGTAACAGGATTAAGATCTGGACTTAATGGTGACCAGTTCATACAATCAATGTTATTGTTTTCAACCCATATCTTGGTTGCACGAACT